TTCCTCCTCCGCAAAACGCTTACACACGTCCCCTCAAAACGCTAGAGTAGTGGCGTCAGCTTTATTTCGCAATCGGCAGTGCCTGATGTTTTTGCAGTAGTGGCACTGCTTCGCTTAATATTGTTAAAGGCTGTTAAAGCTTAACTGCCATTGTTTTAACGGAAAAGAGAGCGTCAACAAGGCTGTGACAAAATGGAGTTTTGATTTATAATTTTGGGAGTGGAGTAGTTTGTATCTTAAAAGTTGAAGCTGGTTGGCTGCAACAGTGTGTGCAAGATATCGGCAGTGACCGCCACACTGCAAACCGCCACACTGCAAACCGCCACAAAGTTTTCTAACCGTGACTAACACTGCTAGATTACAGTACCACAACAAGGCTTAACCGTAGCGTGAAGTGATCTAATCAACGTCTCAAAATGATTAGCAGTATATAAACTCGAAAATTTTACGTCAGCTAATTCTCTTGCACCCCCACCATAAGAACTGTTAGTTGTATACAAGTACTATTACTGTATATACATGATATCCGAGCACGGATAAAATGCATGGTCAAAACTGTTGAGAAATAACTTGTGAACTTAAAGTTGGAAAATCGCGCTTTTCATTCTGACTAATCACAAGCAGAAGCTTACAGCTACAAATACAGAAAGTACTACAGCGTTAACAGAACCAATAGAACTAGCAAGTAAGAATAAGGGCAAGTATTTTGTAACTCTGCACCATGCATGTCTGCTTGTCACCCAACCTGTGCTAACCAAAAATGGTGCCCAACAGGTTCCGTGCTCGCTGACGGGGGCGCCATCGTTCGTCTGCTAGCAGACATTTCTGTGTTTAAGATAATATCACTTATAATTATGCCAAGTGAAAAAGGTGAAACTGAAAAGATCAAAAATGATGGTGGAATGACTCGTGGGCTAAGCGTTTACAAGGGCGTGTGATCCGTTTCATACCAATATCTGTGTTGTGAATTGTGAACTGTGTTGTGAAAGCATCGTTCATTCATGGATCGCTGTACTAATAAGGCACTTGTGTCTGCAACTGATTTTAAAAATTTTAAACATAAGAGCTGAATTGTAGGTTATTTTCTGATGCTGAATTCGCAGAAAGATAAATTTTATCCTATGATAATTGTCAATAACTATTTCCCCGGCCGATCGACGCCTGTGTGATGCATCTAATCTAATTCATTTATTTACGCCGACACACATCAACATACTGTTTAATAAACGGCAAGTTACACACACAAATGCAAGGAATCCGAAACTGAACTGACGTGATAGGTATAATTTATTATAACAGCTCACTCCAGTCTGTAGTTTTAAATGCAAATGTTCAGTGATGCTTTCTTCTGGGTTCGGTGAATTAGGAAGTATCATCCGGTCCATCATTAACCATCTCTTGCTTTTCGCTTAGCTGCAAATAATCCGCAAGCAAACAGCCACGGATCGATCAGTGTCTGCACGGAATAAAAGGTCAAGGCCACAATCAGAAACGTTGATGACAGATACGACTTGAAGAAGATTATTGCAGCGAAATAAATTACAGCCGGTGTCCAGCAAATCGTCACACTGATAGCTGTCAGCGAGAGCACCAGAAAAGGTCGTACGGCTTCTCTTGACCCATTGCCAGGTGGTTTGCCGGAACCGACAAACACCGCATTGCGGTAGCCCTTTCGAGAACGCCATCGTCCAATGCGGTTAACACATAAATGCACATATGTCATTATGATCATAGCCCATGGGAAAACATGCAATAACGCTTGCTGGCATTGACTCCATAATACTTGCGCCGAGTAGTTAATATGACAGCCATGTTTCAGGTCGATGGAATAATACATCATATCCATGATCACACCGGGCAATCCGACAAGCAATACCAGCCGAACATGTAAGCAGGGCCACTTTTTTATCGTGGTAGTTGCGATAGGAGATTGGATAATGCACCGCCCATAGGCGATTAATAGAGATACAGACATGTACGCAGATTTGCGCGCCGGAGACGATGTTGTTGAAATAATTATATACGTTGCACCACGCGCGACCCATCCACCAGTGTCCATAGAGCGCGTTCATCCCTTTCAGAGGTGAGTGGACACTGAGAAAGGCGACGTTGACCGCCAACAAAGCCAATAGGTATACCGTAAATGGGGTGACTCGCGATGGGATGCGGATGAATTCGATAAATACGTATATGTTAGATGCATACGACAGGGCGGAAACCACTAGGTGACCAATCAGTGACGGTGTCCAGTGGGATACTGGTGCAGTGATGTTTGCTGAAATCGCGGAACCGGTGGCGTATGCCATAGATTTAGTGGTAAAAATATAATAATAAAACTGCGCGTCCAAATAAATTTCCTCAGAGCAGTTCGAATGGACCGAAATAGCAACACGTTAATAAAATGCTTCTCAACGCAAACGGTTTCGTAAATGCAGGTGCAAAACTGCAAATCCTTTCTTCCGTGAAAGCAGAGCAGTGCTAAGTACAGATTAACAGTTCTTACGCATCGGTGGTATATATTATTCCCACGGTCGGATGACACCCATATTAGTTGCTCACCGATGAGAATCGATGAATAAGCGTACCGATAGCTGCATAGGATGATTCCACAATTGAAATCTGGTGATGGCACCATCAGCTGTGCTCCCCTTGGCCAGCAGCAATTAAAATTACGTAGTCTGCCATCGTTCCGCGTATGCAGTGTTTAAATGCTTTCGCCGGTTTCCTCACGTATGCACAGTCCCTTGCGCGCCGAAACACTTTGATGCCTTGAATTACTTCCGTAATTTCTAAAGTGGGCTACCGGAGGCCGAAATGCTCGTAGTATACTCCGACTTGTATGATTTCCCATAACGTTGGCTGCCGTGTTGTCGGCAGCCTGCAGGTGATGGAGTCGGGAGTTGCCAATTTGATTAGTTTTCACTCGGATAAATTTACCTTACACAATCGGTACAGCTCATACGAAGCATCAACTGATCCTCCGCGTGCAACACGGTGCAATTTGCAAGTATAAATAATTGTTGAGAGGATGATGGTTTTCAAACGTGCGTATCTGTGCTTGAAACCTTCACGCTCCTTCTGCTAATGGATCAAATAGTACTCTAATGGGTCACTTAAAATTTTTGCAATCGACAGCCAGTTTCCTTTGCAGTTCAGCACCTACAGCTAGTACTATTTTGCAGAGACAACGACGTTCTGGTGATTGCAAACTGAATCGTGAATCATCCTGGAATCGTGAAAATCTGAAAACTGCAGCGGCCTTGTTTGTAGTATTATCGTTCCGGACCTTACGGTTATCTGTAGACTGTAGTTGCAAAAATTATCTACACTTACTGCAAAATAAATGATGTTGCGCAAATACCGAAAACAACATAACTGATAAAATAAGCCGCCTCACCAAAATTAAATCCGACTACCTAATGACCAGTTTAGAGAAAATGCCACGACACCGGTAACCATAATAACTGTGCCGAAGAACATGCTACAGCTATGGATTTGAGTATTACAGTACTTACTTATGTGAATAGCTGGAGCGTCAAGAGCTCATGCCGAAGGCATTATACGTATTTGCATAGAAAACAGGACTACTCAGCTGAAAACTAATTCAGTTTACCCGGAAAGTGGACAACCGGAATCAATCTTTTATTAAATGTGTGATTCTCGTCGTCAAAATAAACGCTGGATGCACAGTTCTGCTGCCGAGCGTGAGGTATGAATGCCGGTGCTCCGTAATTCTTGTGCCATACAAACGTGACCATTAGAAAGGGTAGCAATTTCCCTGTCTTGTTGAATGAGTGCCTTTCCGGGAAATCTGATACATGCGCATCTGGATTGGCTCTATCAACACACTCAGGAAAAACAGTAGCTTGCACCCTTATATACACTACGCTATTCCCGGAATATTTTGGCTAGCTTGATCGATGCAGAGTTGTTTTTGAAAACTAACAACCGGTATGCACAGGCATTCCTGTCTCAGTAAGCTATAAAATGAATGTCAATCAGACAGTGGAATTTTATGTAGTGCCGGATTATTTCAAGGTTTTAATTACAAACCCAGAACTAATAAAGTGTGTTTGACATGCTGTTCACTATTGCTGTTTTTCCGCTGGGTTTATTCGTCTGCTATTTTAGAATGAGCAAGATGTTACGCATTTGGATAAGATTTGCGCATTTTGCACTTGTAAGCTATTAGCAGTTTTGCTAAATTAACGTTTCTATAATTGACATCCAAATTTAGAGTTTATGAGCTCAAATGAGTACAAATATTTTAAGCCGTTGTATGTTCACAGACTTTGAACAGAGTTGTACCTTTTTATGTCATGTCGTTTAGAGCTAAATTGTATTTATTTGTAATTACCAAACGAAAGAGTGATATAATACGGCAGATATCCGATGCATGCAGTTTTCTTACCATCTAACGGTTACCGGAATAGTCATACATACGATAAAACTAGCACACTCTACCTGTATTTAATATGCGCAACACACCGTATTAGTATTTATTCGCATAGGCACGATGACATTAATTAATGTCATTTAAATTCATTGTGTAAAATTTTTACAAAAAGATTTCTGTAATGCAACGCACACTTCTATGCAACTGTGCCGAGAATTTTACTGGTTAAGTATGTGTCTCGTTATTATGCTACGAGTACCAGCGTATAAGTAAACAACTAAAAGTGTTTTATAGGAAACACTCGTAGGTTTGCACACCCGATCAACATAGGACAGACGCTACTGCGTGCAACACAGCCAAAGTACCCCGTTTTTTTTGCGTAACAGAAACTGCAGAAAGTACAGTATTATAACAAAAGCTGCTTATACTGTAATATACAGCGCTATCGGGTTCCGCTTACCTCATGTCTCTGCTACTCGTAAGTAAATTTAATCATATTTTTATGCCTGTTCTCGGCTTTTAATTTACAATTTATTGCAAATAAGGATGTTCATTGTCACGTCGTTAATTATTCACACAGTTTGTTTCATCTGATTTTGTTTGGTTCCCACATCTGGCACACAATTACTGCTTCGAGATTTAACAGCAAAAGCGACCCACTTTTGTATGTTTGTAATCGTTACAGTAATACAATGGAAGCTCACTAAAAAACTTTTAAAATTAATGAGTATCTCGCTCACAGATGATAACCTCGTTGCAACACCACCATAAATGCAGCGTTAAGTCTGTTAATGGTTATACGAACGCCTATGTATACCGTATAATAATTATTGTTATGCATTACAATTAATGCGTAATGCCGCGGGCTCCATATGCTCAATAGTTGACGACCTTTCCACTTGACCAGGAGTTAGACGTCGTCTTATTGTTGTAGGTGGTGGTTTTATTGTACGTATACGATGAATACGAACCGGACGACTCTCTCATGGCATTGAGTTTTGCGATCTCCTTGTCGGCATTGGCCAACATTTCATCGTAAGTATTGTCCGTCACCAGCTGAGCGAACGGCGCCGAATCCGTCGTCGTGGTTGGTTTAGTAGGCTGGGTGGTCTTCTTTGTTGTAGTGGTTGTGGTTGACGTTGTTGTGGTCGGCGGCGGTTGGTAATTGGATTCTGGCAAATTATCCTCGATGATTCCGCCCATGTCGTTGCTGGCGATCATGTCACGGATGCCATTATCCAAAGCAGGTTTGAGCGATTTTATATTAGCTAGAACATTATTAATCACAACTCACAAGCATGTAATTTAAATTTCTTATCTAGCTGTACGGTATTCACGCACAGTTATTGGAGTTGCTCAGACCAAAACTGGGGTATGTGATGCGTCGTGGTGACATCGAGACAATCTCCAGGTCATTTTGCACCGAAGGAGGCAAAGTTTTAAGCACACTCTCCACGAGAGGGTTACGCCCCATAAAGGTCACGTTGTCCATTTTGATCCGTTTCAGCTCCTCTTCCGTGTCATTGCGCCAACGGTTGGAATACACCAGCTTGCAGTAAATTCCCGGATAGTTTTCCGGTTGGGCCTGTCAACAAATCAAGCAGCGATAAAAGGAGTCGTTAAAGTAAGCGGTGCGCTATCAGCGTACATGCACGGTATCCTTCAGGTCTGTGGTATCCAGCAAGGAAATCCGAGTAATCTCCTTCGTGGACTTGAGTTTGACAAAAACCACTTCCGAAGCGTATAATGGCTCCGTGAAACTCAGTTCGTGCTTGTAAATACCATCGCGTTCCAGATCCACAGCTAAGATGTCGGCTTTCTGTGGGCAAACAGAATCGCCTTATCGACAGAGCTATAAACTTCGAAACTTACAGTAATTATTCTTCGTATGGTTATTTTTCGTATTTATAGTTATTATTTTTCGTATGATTTCGTATGGTTATTTTTCGTACTCTTATTATTATTTCGTATTCTTCTTATTATTTTTTCGTATTTCGTATATTTTTTCGTATTCTTATTATTATTTCTTATTATTTCTATGGTCATTTTTCGTATGGTTATTCTTTGTATTCTTCGTATTTATAGTAATTGGTTCTTAAATTAAGTAAAATAAATATCAGTAACAACAAAGTGCATGTGAGACTTAAAACAGTCAGAGAAGCCAAAAGCTGACTTTGTTGTCCAAGTAGATGTTTCTTTGTTAAGAAGGCAAAATTAATGCTTTCTGTATCAGCTCTTACGCCGGACTTGACAGCTTCTTTGGCTTGCTGCAGTGTGTCGAAGTACATGGTTTTTGCCAGGGTGAAGTTTGCCCGATCTGCCAAGGACGTGAGCACATCAGGAAAGACACCGGTACTCTCTGATGGTTGTCCGTCGTACATCCTGGGAATCTGCATCAGTCTATACGTTCCGTAATTCTTCGACCCATTTGCAAATATCAGTCACTGTTGACGATGTCATTTACCTTGACCGCTGCCGGTCTGAATGACCGCCAATCAGGCAAGGAATCCGTTAATCCATACTGTGCCGTAACGCTCCCAGTTAATCCCAGGACGATCACCACTACAATCGCTGCCATTATAACGATTAACCAAAAGGCCCGTTAACTTGTGGACAGTCTACTAAATGTAATAATCGCAGTGCTCGTGCAAGTGACTGCCGGCAGACAATACTTGAAGCCGACATTTTAGCACTTTAATGAATTGATGAGCAAGACAGTTTTCCACAATTTTTGCATAGTTATGAACTGCAAATGTTAAACTTCTCTCCTGATCAGCAAATAACTGGAGTGTACGTGAACACATTCACCGTTTTTGCGGTTCGTTAATTGATTTGTTTGGATATTTAAACTGTGAAAGCAGGAAATATATATCGTTTGTATCCGTATCACAGCGCCGTAGTATCGGTTGTTTCATTTTATTAAATATAAATCACAAGTGCGGTTTGCACACGTGCATGCATCAAAACCCGCCAGACTGTCACTGAACTGATACAATGTTTATGGGCATCTATCTAGCATAACATGGCTAGGCTTGTTACCGCAGTAAGCGTTTCCAAAAGCAAATTGTGTCAATCATGGTGTTGCGTAAATTGCGCAGGGTAAGCGTAAATAAAAGCGGGTCCAGTACCGACTGCACATTGAACATAATCATGACGACATTGTCCACCTTCGTGTTGCTGTAACCAATAAACGCGACAACCGCGTAGTAGAAAACGGAAGGGGACCAGAAAATTAAGACACTGACGGTTAATACGAAGAGAAGAAGAGCATGGGCGTTGGATCGCTCTTTAGAATTGCGGGACAGTACTGTTCCGGGTGTCGGCTGCGTGTTGGAACGGTTTTGCTCTCCCGCAACTAAAAGCAGCATTTTGATTTGACATACTTTATACTAATAATTTGAGGAATCTTCAGGAAACCATTTTTACTGTCACCGTAATAGTCTTTTGAGCAATTATACAGTATTAAAACTAATGAAGTATGTATTTGTTACCTTGTGGAAGAAATAATAGACACATAATTAGCTATTAATATTGAGCTGGGTTTCTAACAATGTTTTTCTGCATTTATTTAATTATGAAAGGTATATCATTTACTAATTAGCAAAAATTCAATTTTTAATACGATAAATAATACTTGTTAATTACACATGGTAAATTTAACTGTTATACATATAATACATAGATATGTATGCGATAATTTCTTGTAGTACTAAAGACTGTTTGGAGCCAAGAGTACTAGTTTAAATAAACATACTACTGTCTGTTTGCCCGGTATCTCCTTGCTGCTTCTGACCCATTGCTCCAGTTTCATTAGCCTTTCCGTTTCCCGTCCCATTTAGCACCACCACCGCGGTAATGCCTCCACGAATTCTCTTCCGCTGTCGCTCCTTGTAGACAATCAAAGGAAAAGCTACCACAATTGTCACCACCGCCGCAATACTGATAAACTGCACAATCAGCATCCAGTCCTTTTGGCTTCCCTCCGTTTTAATCTCGCACTTATGGGTGTTTTCCAGATTCCGGTAATAAAGATGGTCGGCCAATAATCCCCACAACCCGATGGCATGCGCACACATCCACGTCACCACACACTGGCCAATGGCCGCTTGGTAGCCGTGATAATGCCGGTAATTAATTGGCGCCCACAGTGCCCAGATGCGGTTGGTGGCGATTAGCGGATGCGTGGTCAGCTGCACTAGTGACACTACCCACCAGCCGTACATATACACGGTACAGCAGGCGGAATCTAGCCACCACACGTTGCCGTATAGATTGTCCACAATGTTGAAACCTGATTCCGTGATGAAGTAAAGCAGGTTGGCGAAGAGCAGATTGAAAAGGTAGATGTTGAACGGGCTCCAGAGGTGGCGATTAACGAGAAATGTCAACACCAGTATTCCGTTGAAACCCAGACCGGTGATGCAGAGGATGAGTGATACGATGGCTTTGGTCTGCCATACTGCGATCAAGGCCGAAACGTTGTGAGCGGCGGTAGCGTTATCCATTTCCTGCGAAAACCAAGTGATCCTGATTGTGCAGGTTTCCTGTCTTAATATTGGCTTGGTATTCAAGAAAGTGCTCGATCATGCTGTAATTAGCAGGTAAAAGCAACGTTTTACGGTATTTCCGGAATATTTAAGCGCGACAGTGCGACATTTGAATGTCATTAAGAATGCCGGTCAACGTTGTTGTGCTCAGCGAAAGAGTAGATGAGTCCCATAATACTGGCAATTATTGAGCTATTTCCTTTAAGCACATCTGCTGCCAAAAAAATTCATCCGGTTGCCGCTATTTACCGAGTGTTTATAATTCATATGCGCTTAGCAAAACAGTTGAAAAAAGCGTACGGACTTCTATAATGTGCTCTTAAGTTCCCTTAATTGTCATGCGCCCATAACAGATCGATAAATGTTAACAACGGATAGGCTTTCACGATAGAAAATTGATCGATATACACCTTTATTTTCGAATGACAAAGGAGCATCAACGAGACAGAATTTTACTAAAATAAATTTTGCCATGGATTAGGCGGAAAATGGTTTTTATTCACACAACTATGCTGATTACATCAGTCGGTGACAATGGTGTACAGAGGGTTATTCAGCCAAGTGTGGTCAGCGCATTAAAAAAATTCCTATAATTCAGCCGTAGCGCAGAGTCAGATTCTAATAATTGTTTTATTATAACAAATTAGTTTTGATGCTTTTTGCAAATTTTTGTGACAATCGAGCTTAAACAGCCCGCAATATTGGCTACTGACCTAAAGACTCCGACTCTAAACCTTTGACCAGGCAAAATTTGGCTTTCGATGATCTGGCCTTAAAGGATCGTCTGCTTTTCAAATCTGGATGGTTTTAATTGTAAAAAACGACGATCCGAATATTTTTCATAGCAAAAACGATTCCATATTCTTGCGCGTTCTTGCGGTAGGACGGTTGGAAAAAACGCGAAAACAGGAAGACACTCGCAGGAGCCATGCTCATTGTGCGAATTCTTACTCACGGAGCTATAGCTATCCTTTTCGTTCCTCCACAAACTAAAGTTGTAACGCAGGTCTTTCTTCACAATTTACAATGTTCATTGATCGAAAAGGACGCTCCGCGGATTAAGCCTGGCAGAGAGGAAGAAGTCATCCAGAACCAGAGATGTGCTCCCGGGAGCACTGCTGAGAAAAACAAGGATGTTGCTTCCTGATCGAAAAACTAGTAATTCCTTCTGAAAAGGATTGTTAGAAACCCTGACAGGTTTTCAATGGATTATGGCGAAAACCCAAATTTTAAATTAATTTTGAGTAAAGGGAATCCATTTCCTATAGCTGAACTGGTCAACTGTTGCCAACATGGGGGGGATAAACTTAATTTTTTCATGGGCTACAGGATAGCGAAATCTTGGCTCGGTTGAATTCAGAATATGATTAAATGTTCTGGTTATCTGATAAAATTTTTAAAAAAGTAAAATAAGCCTGCAACGGCTAAGCAGAAATTTTCCAAAAAGTGACCACACTTGGCTGAATAACCCTCTGTACAGCTGTATAGCTGTAGCCTTTTTCGTGTACCCCTGAAAACACTTCTTGGAAAATACCTACCAAGCGTTGCAAAATGCAAATACGGCTGTGCCGCAATATTATTAAACTTTAATTGTATCTACTCTGTAGGTAAAGTTTTTTTGCTAATTTTTTGCATATTTGTAGGACTTGGAGCAAAAGCGCGTAGACGCTTTTTGCGCGGTATAAGGAAACTTATAATATTTACAACATACATTTTACTGCTTCTATGGCTTCGAAAACTTATTAAGAATGGTACGTATCCGCTGGCATGATGGATAAAAAAAACCAAAACAATTATAAACCCCATTGAACTGGTAATGAACCTTGCGCGTGCTGTTTATCACCACAAATTCACTGTGTTCTCTGAATTCATCGGCGTCCCAACCGTACACTGGTAGGCATCGGCGAATGATTTTAAGTTGGCGAAGATAGCGTTCACTCGTAGCTGCAAGGGGCTATGGACATCAGTTAAAAGCATTAACTGTTGGAAGTCTGGATCGTAATGCCCACACCAGATCTGTCAATACCGAAAGGTCACGTCTTGCAGATGGTTGTTAAGACACGAAATGCAGTGCTTCCAGCATTCTAACCTGAGCAGCCGATAAAAAGAACATTTGTCTAGGGGAATAAAATTCGAATCCGGGCAAGGTTTCTTCGTGCTGGTCCAACTGTTTTGTTTTCCGGATATAAGCCTAAAAATCAACTGTACAGAGGGTTATTCAGCCAAGTGTGGTCACTTTTTGGAAAATTTCTGCTTAGCCGTTGCAGGCTTATTTTACTTTTTTAAAAATTTTATCAGATAACCAGAACATTTAATCATATTCTGAATTCAACCGAGCCAAGATTTCGCTATCCTGTAGCCCATGAAAAAATTAAGTTTATCCCCCCCATGTTGGCAACAGTTGACCAGTTCAGCTATAGGAAATGGATTCCCTTTACTCAAAATTAATTTAAAATTTGGGTTTTCGCCATAATCCATTGAAAACCTGTCAGGGTTTCTAACAATCCTTTTTCAGAAGGAATTACTAGTTTTTTCGATCAGGAAGCAACATCCTTGTTTTCTCAGCAGTGCTCCCGGGAGCACATCTCTGGTTCTGGATGACTTCTTCCTCTCTGCCAGGCTTAATCCGCGGAGCGTCCTTTTCGATCAATGAACATTGTAAATTGTGAAGAAAGACCTGCGTTACAACTTTAGTTTGTGGAGGAACGAAAAGGATAGCTATAGCTCCGTGAGTAAGAATTCGCACAATGAGCATGGCTCCTGCGAGTGTCTTCCTGTTTTCGCGTTTTTTCCAACCGTCCTACCGCAAGAACGCGCAAGAATATGGAATCGTTTTTGCTATGAAAAATATTCGGATCGTCGTTTTTCACAATTAAAACCATCCAGATTTGAAAAGCAGACGATCCTTTTAAGGCCAGATCATCGAAAGCCAAATTTTGCCTGGTCAAAGGTTTAGAGTCGGAGTCTTTAGGTCAGTAGCCAATATTGCGGGCTGTTTAAGCTCGATTGTCACAAAAATTTGCAAAAAGCATCAAAACTAATTTGTTATAATAAAACAATTATTAGAATCTGACTCTGCGCTACGGCTGAATTATAGGAATTTTTTTAATGCGCTGACCACACTTGGCTGAATAACCCTCTGTATCAGGCTTAAATCAGGCTTAAATTAAAAGTAAAGGAAGGTGTATTTCTTCCAGATTTTCTCAACAAGTTTTAATTACATAATTATTTAAAAAAATATAGTAGGCTATACCCCGTAAGCCGCTTTGATGCCGCCTAAGTCGGCGATGTTCTCCGTTAGCGTCAGCATACCATCCACACTGCGCTCGCCAATTTTAAATCGATTGAACTGTTTGACCAATTCGGCGGCTTTGTTAGCAAATGCCATTCGGGATTTGTTGGACCACCAGTTAAAAATATTCCCCTGCTCGTCTCGTTGCGATCCTGATAAAGAGCCAAGATTTGTCAAACTTACATACTACAGCAACTTATTGTTAGTAGTAATAACTAATTACACAAAGTTTTAGTTACCCGCGTTATCGAAACCGTGGGTAATTTCATGCCCAATAACCCAACCTAAACCGCCGTAGGTATAGAAGCTTGGCACAAACCAATTAACATACGGAGCTTGTGCGATCCCCGCCAAAATAGCTAAAATTCGAAGGAAAATTCAGTCACTTTATTGCATACAAAACTATAAATTAACTGGCAATATTAGCTATTCTGTTGATGATATTAATAGACAAGTGTAGACGCTGTATTAGAGCAGCAGGCAAAAACGTGAGTGCCAAAGTAACTGTAAGGAATCTGCTTTGTAAGCCCAACTCTAGGAAAAAGACGTCCCGATTTCGAAGCGAATCTCGCTATGGTACGGTTGCTCAACCGCACGAGATGGCTGTAGCGGCCACGCCTACAGATACGGTACGCGAAGCCACCTCGCGAGGTGGAGTGGCCTGGTGCTTATGGCGGGCACCCGCCAAGGCGGGTGCGATAAGGCGGGGGTAAACCATCAGGCGGGCGTCGGTAGCGGGCAATGCAGAAATGCATTTGCACAGTGCACTTTCCCGCTAGCTGCGCATCAAGCTGCTAGTGCAAGTCATAACTAGCGTTAGCAAGTAGCTTACTAACGCTACTCCACGCTTTTTAAAACCAACCGTTACAATACTGTTTACAAAAAGATTTACCAGATCTTTTTAAATCGACTTGTTAAGCTGCTTAGTTATAATTCAAAAAATGCGTAATGCAGGATAAATGTCCCAGTGACCCGTTACTCTGACTGCGGACTTATTCTGGCTCCAGGATTCACTTAACCTTGGTAGATATTTTTCAAATCAATAAAAAGAATTAATTTCTTTTATACAAAAATACTAGATTAAAGGCACAGACGCAAAATCTTTAAATATATATTTTGTTTTCAAAAAGCTTGCGTGGAGACGATGACAGTTATAAAATTAGGACATTGAAGCAGTTCAATACTAATAACTATACGAACATTCCGCATTAAAAAAAGAGATGGCAACTTCACCTAACACGCACTGATATTTACGCCTACGGTTTGGAGCAGCGCCAGGTTAATTTAATTTTTAATTGTAGCTGTCTGAGTTAACAGCGATGCCATTTTGTGGCATTTATGCACTGAAAAAATTATTAAGACTTTACAGCAAGCCAAATTATGCATATATATAATCAGTTTGGTTTGTTCAATAACTGTCCAACGTTAGCGCATTACAGAGCCAATTATCTGGCTTTTATTTATAAGTTGCTATGAGACGCAAAAGAAAAAAGTAATAAATGATATCATTTTTCAAGCACGTGTTTTTGAGCATTCATCGCTTAAGAACAACAAGATGATTTTATTGATATTTAAAAAGACAAACCGCTCAAAGCAGCTGTTTTGAAAAACAATTTTCGACCAAAGCGAAACAAAAAAGAGGCACTTTGAAAAGAAGACCAATTTTGCTTCAGTCCTAAAATGGTCTCACAATTTCAGTGTTTATTTGCGGAAGCTAAAAGGTAACAGCATTTCTTGACATCAAACGAAAAGTCTGTTGTATACTGCAACGAAATAGGTTGCAACCTAAATTCAAAGAATTTTTTCGGGAAACGTCTTTGATTCAGGCTACCAACTTAGGCCACAGCCTAAATCTGGTAACCGCAGCTTATTAACAAAGAATGCATTCTAAATAAGCATTTCCAATTTTGCTCGAATTCAAAGATCGAAACAGGTAAAAGAATGTTCTGTAATAAAGTAAATGATGGTAAAAAACACTTAGGCTGTAGCATTAATTATTAAAAAAAATGGAAAAAAAACTGGGGAAACTGCAGTAAAAAAAATGGAAGAGTTGAGTAAATTGCGTTTTTCTCAACCTTTTTATGTGATACAGGGTGAAACCTTTTTTAATTTGTTTTTGATAAAAAAAATAATGGTGTCAAACAAGATTGTATGGGACTAAAGCAAAAACGGTTTACATATATGATATATGTAAGCAGTTAGTAGACCGAATTGCGTTTTTCGCTACTGGTCTCTGACTAGTAGCCTGAATGTCTCGTAGATTTTAACAGTACGGCTAGAAGACTTAATCGAATGTAAATTTTGTCATTAGCGATAAAACATCATAATTATTAGAATGATATTTGCTTAATTTCTCGGCACCAGGGTATGCCCGAGACTCTGTGAGCATACGGTGAACGGTTTTTTAAGCATTTAAATACATTATGCCAGCTAAGTAGCTAACACTGACAATATCATTCTGTGCGTTTTTTTATCTACGTAACTTACTATTCTCAATTTTTGCTGTTAGTTTTTATAAAGGTCCTTTTTGTTTGTTTGGGGCTTTAAAGCAGATAACCATATATAACGGCTGCTTAAGAAAATATAGAATGGTGTCAGGATACGTTGGTTTTTTATTCAACTTTACAAAAAATCATTCGAAATTCTGAAGGTGTCAAAGCGACCCACATCATATAGCTTTACATCCTTTTCTGTTTTTAGGTGGTCACGTGATTGAACCTGCTTCCTACATGCAGGACAGTTAAAACAAACAGAAAGACTACAAAACGTTCGTTTTTTTGACTTACAGTTTTAAAAGAACGAGTTCAGTCACGAAAAACAAAAAGGCGAATACACAAAAGCTTTTCAAATTAAAAAGGCTCGTGGCAAAGTAGAAGTGCACTACCGATTAGGCAAGTGCAGCGCACTTGATGCCTCAGTGCAATGTGCAATTAAGCGGTGCCCGCCACTGATATTGAAACCCGCCTTAATGCGCCCGCCAAGGCGGGTGCCCGCCATAAGCACCTGGCCGGTGGAGTTGCTGTATCGCAACGACATTCGCTTCGAATTCGGGACAAGGCCTTATTTATATTAGGCCTAGTCCCGAGTCCCGACTCCCGAATAATGAAACAGCGCGATTGGCACCTGGTGGCATTAACTGACGGTGAGACAAGCCAAAAGTTTTGAAAAGTGTGGAGACCACCGAAGTAGGCAACTACCTAAATAATTTCCTGATGGATTATAAAACCCATTTGTAGCTGAAGCATCCATGGTAAGGAAACCGTCGTCTCGTTTGTTTTCGGTTGCAATTTTTGCAAGATTCCTGTCCGTGTTCACCCTTGCCCAGCTAACTGTTGTGTCGAATAAACTCTCTTTCATATCAAACTGCAAAAAGTTTGCAAATCGCAAATACTGTGCATATATAACAAAGTGCCATTCAGTAATAGTAAAGCTGTATACACCGCAACCACCAACCTGGAAATAAAGCTTATCGACCACGTTACTGTTCCCTGAAAGATGCTCTTCGTAAAGGTCATATTCCAGCATATCTTTCAACTTAGTCAACGCCTGGAATCGTGTCGCTTTGTCCATCCACTGGGTTTTCGATAACATGCTGCGGAATTCTTGCCGAAGATTGTAAATCATTTGCTTGACCTGCAAAATAACATGCAGCTTCAATATACGTAGAAGCAAAGGTGATGCACCATGCATAATTATTGTATTGACTCAAATTAGAATTTCAGTAAAGACGACTTACTTTAGTTGATTACGCAAAGAGACGCATTATGTTTTTCTAATGATGTTTAGCAGTCATCGATTACAAATTACGAAGCCGAAGCTTTGGATACAAGTACCTGAGATTTTGCGGTAGGATGCAATTTCGCATACTTCTGCACGTACAGCGCACCCACCGCAGCCGGCAGGACAGTACGGACTGTTTTAATGCAATCCATCCATTTCGGTAAGCCTTCTGTCACACCGGCAACAATTTGTCGTTGGTCCTGAAAATATTGTCCTACCGTTTTTGGAAGCGTGGCGCTATACGAAGCAATCATCTGCCAACCAAGATAATTCGCCAATAAACGTCTTCCCTTATTGCTGTTTTCCAGCTGAGCTAGTTTTCCGTCAATAGCCTCCATGATTAATGGCGCCGCTACGTACACGTTTGTACTATTTGCGACAACGAAATTTTTAGAGGAATTAAGCCCTGAATTTGTTAACGAACGGTGAAACAACATTTGCATATAACTAATCAAGTTGGATGCAAAGTTGGAGCGAAAAAAATACGTGGACCGAAACTCTGAGACATTCATGGGAACGACGCTAAGCGGCTGGGTCGCGTAGTACTCGGCCGCGGCGGCGGTGACGTTGGTCAAAAATAAATGCAACGCATGGAGCTCGTGAATATCTTCCTCCAAGCGTAGCAGATAGTCCAGATTCTCCATGGAAAATTTCGGTGGCGCATTGCCAAAACGCAGAAACAGAGCGACATTCTTAATCAGATTAGGATACATGCGAATGTATCGCTGTCCATTAGCGATATGCAGGAAATCTTTACCAAAACCCGTAGCGGGCGACAAGAAGATGGCGTTCTTTGTAGAATTAATGGGGTCATGGGCGACCGCCATATCCAGCAAGAGGTCACCCACTCCGCAATGACTTAGTTCCGTGGTCGCGGTTAAGAAATCAAAGCTAGCAGCAGACCAATTAGCCGTAATCAATGGCCAACCGCCCAGGATACGGCATAATAATGTGGTTAATGAAGCGGTTCCTTGTCGTTCCGCTAAACCTGCGAAGCGTTCACCGTAAACAAGAACTGCGTGTGGCTCGGTTGCGTGTTTTGTCAACACACCTTCATCCATGCATTGGGCGTAAAACTGTTTTGCTTTCTTTTGGGCGGAGCCAAGCCGGGATGCGGTTTTTGCTGACAGAACATCTATAGACAAAACGCGGATTATGACTACAAGCAAAATTCTAAGGTTGTACAAAATCTTAATTAAAAGTATCCTCAAATTTATGGCATACGATATTTCTAGCGCGCCTGGAACTGGAATACTTCTATAAGTTTTTTTAATTTACTACTTAACGGAAGTTGTTACCTCGGAGTTGATATTGCACTAAGGTTTGTAGATCTCCCGAAACAGAACGGTAGTTTTCAGCCGGGAATAATGGACGCTTGGCTATCCAGTTGCCACAAGCGAACTGGTAGAAATCTTGGCAGGGATCGATGGAAAAATTAACCGAACTAAGCATCGAATCACCTGCAAAATTGTTGACTTGCGGATAAAAACTAATGCAATTCCAACAATCAAAGCCATGTTAATCCACAGATCAACAACACACTAACCGGTAATCTGACACTGGGGCGTACTGCAGATATTAGTACTGTATCCTTGCCCATGTTTGGATGTTACTTTCCAGGCTTTTCCTATTAAAGACCCGGAATAACCACCGGCATCCTCAAAATTCTGTTTGCAAACACACTGTCTAACAACAGCAATCAATAAAAATTTAAAGGAAAACAATAACATTTTCTTGGCGTATATTGTGTTTTCGACCATACACATGAATCAGACTGGTAGGCAGTCCGGGAGTTCTACTATGGCCAAACCTGACCGAAAATTAGCAACTTTCCGACTGAAAACCCGACGAAGCATGGCTAAACTACCGGAAGTTACGTGTCAGCCAATGGCCAATAAAAGTCGTGTATAAGTTATACAGCATATAGATATACGCATGACTACTATGAAGGATGGAGGATAATCGTGTGGATCAACAATCTTCGCTGTGAGAAACCTCTGTCAAGAGGTGGTAGTTGGCGTTTCTTTTGTTATTATGCTTTTTATTCAACCAGCTGATTCACCGAAATTATACGGCGATGATGTGCCGGTAGGTGTCTGATATTGGTCAATTGCAGATAATAAAAAACCCTTCGATGATGCTTTGGATTTGATAATGGATTGATGAGAGTGATTAAGCTGTAGGTGCTGTAGTCAAACACGGTGAATGTTCCTAAAACGCCATACGTACCTACTACCTAGTGACTTGTACCGAGCCGGTGAGTCGCGGTGTGGTAACAAGGTAAACAAATCGTGATATAAAGACAGCATGTAAGGAAATTTAATTTTTTATCGCTAAGTCACGTCGTACGTGCTGGGGATAACGTTGGAATTATCTCGGCGACTGCAAACTTTATATAACACTTTACGTTTCTCGAATGTAAGACGAACAAAAAACGGAAAAACAAGCAGAGAGACAAGGGAAATTATTTTTTCAAACCACCAGTCTGTATATACAGAGCATACTGGTATAATTCACGATCAATTTGCTAGAAGTATAGAAGTATCCTTTTTAAAAGTCTGTATACAATGTGCTAGCGTTGCAGCCCATACGGTCATGACAGTGCTAGTGCAAAATGAATACGACTCAACTTTCGGCATAAGTTGTTTAGCTCTTCATGTTTTAAAATAAAAATAAATGTTTTTTTTTAAAGTTTAATCTAAGGGTTTTAAATCAAAATTATTTAGATAATGGTCTGTTATGAATTGCTTTTCACAGAATTATGGAGAATTATCTGCATAGTGCAGTCCGATTTCGCCAAGTGATCCTCTCAACTTGATAATAATAATTATTATTCCTACCGGTGTTCGTAACTTCGAACCCAACATATGGTTTTATTGGTTGTATAATATTTTGCTGCAAAAACGTTTCAAAAATAATAAACCATTTACGTTGCTTATTGCACCCCCGAAAATAATCGCTTGACGTACAAAACATACCTGTGCGCAATGGTTCAGATTACTGACGCTTGAAGTTCTTTTACTTTTCCATTTATCCGACAATTGTTCACAAGCATTCACATAATATACGTTTATGAGGCCAATACTATGCCTAAGGCCATCCAAAAATGTTTACTTTTAAACAGTTTTTCATCGAATTTACCATCATAGCACGAGTATTACAGGGAACTGTAGTAAAACTAAAAACTTTTGCTAAGCGGACGCATATTTGCAGAGTGTAAGAACACGATCAATTTTTTTGGCTAATATGAAGACCTTGAAGTTACTATAATAATTAACAACTGCTGATGCGCGTGTGAAACATTGTGATATATGGATATAATTTTCATTTTGGTACGGAAGTTCTGATTATGTTGTACACACTGAAACGTCTGTTGTGACGTATAATAGAAATGTGTAAAATGGTAACTGATGCTGATCAGAAGATCTATCTGCATGTTCGAATGTTCGCTATTTATTGCTAATTTTGTCGGTAAATACCAATGTCCTGAACCTTGGAGAGCCCTCTTCGAAGTAAGTGGGAATTTGAAATACAAAACTGCAATAGCGCAGGATACTCACGGCATTGTAGAGAGTTATTACATTGTACGTATTACAATACTTCCTACAGTATTACTGTACAGTAATGTACGAATATATATAACCCCTGTGTATTTCTTTTGCCTTCTTTAGCTTACGGGTAAGTATAAAGATCATAACATCATAATTATAAAAATTTTGAGTATAAGATACTACCATACCGTATGTAGCTTGGCTTACCGGAAGCCATCTTTACTAGAGCTTCTTATCGGTTCCAGAGATTGGTAATCGTTAAATTTCTCTACGAATATATACAAAAGGCGCATAGATGTACTTGTACGCACAGGATGGTCATCTGTGTATATGACCACCCAGTTTTAAAAGCCTTAAGTCGATAATACAACTAAGGTTTTCGGCACACAATTCTGCCAGAAATGATGTACAAATTCCTAAATAATTTTCGTTAGCCAAAATGAAGTATTCGTACATCATTGTGGCGTGGTGAAAGAATAATTATAGTTACCTAAGCCTACCTCACGTATAACCATTGTCCATTATCGCACGTTATATTACATTATTGCACATGTTTACATTATAGATTCATAATATCCAATATTACAATGTTTCCAATCCCCTCAAAGCGCTAATTAAACAAAATTCTACGAAAGTCGTCATAAATCAGATCTAATTGCAGAATGCGCAACATAGGCTTTAATGATACGAAAATTCGAGCTGCCATGAACTTAGCAATGATTTTACATATTAATTTTTACTCTGATAATAACAGCGCTTCGAAAATTGTAACAACAGGATCCGTACGAGTATAGCGAATGCAAAGATAAGAATGCCACCCTTTCAGTAAGCTGTAATTCTTTGATTGCAGGACTACAAACGCGAAAAAGATCGTTATAAACATCAAGAACACTGTTATTATTTTTCCCTATAATATCAAAGTCATTGCTCTGAAAAATGCTTTCGGAAGTTTAACACCAGAGAAAATAAACAGGCAATCGGTGTGCTCGTAATACATGTACAGATACATGTAGATGGCTAGCTTCCGTATCTTCACTTGACGATGACATACGATGTACGCGCATATCACGGCTGAAAAGTCGAGTTATTATTTAATACGCGGTCACAGTTGAAAGTAAAGAGCAAGTATATTTCAAAGTACGTATTGGTTTTCACAATCACCCACTTCTACTAATGCGACCGGAAAAATTCAAAACCCGTATCCCAAAAATTCGTCGTATTAAACAGCAGTTCCTTCCAATTGACATCACAAACAATCTTATTATCAAGAATGTGTATTGTATAATTCATTAAGCAAGTCAAAGGCAATGCTGTGAATTTTATACCCTTGACCTTTCAAATTTTTCATAAAACTTTGGATATCGTATGATTAATTTCGTGGCCATTGACTTGATAGTTTGATATTGCGGTTCCCATTTTTCGTAGTACCTCTAACACGGCTGATCTGCGCCATAACAACAATAAACCCTTTTTGGCGGCATAATTACTACCTTGCTTTATCATGCAGATATCATGCACAACACCTAACACGGATAACATCACACTTATCAACATGCACTGTTACTGTTACTGACGCGTTTGTAATGGTATTTGGGTGATTGAGCGTCATAGTTGTGGATTTGTGGGTGCTGCTTCCGGTTGCAAGTGTTTGACACCAGTGACTGCCGGTCGGATTGTACACTAGCGGCACACTTATGGCATGCGCGCGACTGTTCTAATTTTATTATGGCGATTACTGTATGTATACGTATACTGCAGTATCAGTAATCGTGAGAAAGAAACAAATACAGTTTATTGTTGATGCACCCTGTGTATATACCTAAAGTAGCGAGAAAATAGTTTTAGCCACAGAATGCGGTAAAATGAAACTTTAACTGCGATAAGATTTAATTATTTAAATGGTTCATGCTCGGTTCACAAGTGTTTGGGAAACGATTTGATCGCTCTTTATTCGATGCAAAAATTAGTTCAGCGAAGCAGTATTTTACGGTGCGCATATACAAATATGATAAACTTAAACAGCAGATAATTTGATTTGGTTACGGCAAAACAAAGTGACGTCACGTCGGTCACATTTGGGCGCATTTCAAGGAAAACATACCCGGTTGGAACTGCACAATCGGATTAGTACAAGGTTTTTACATGGCACATCGATGACTGATTTAACCGCTGAAATATATGTTAGTAACATGGCGAGTGAGATTTTCTTAAAACACTGCAATCACTTTGTACTAACGCGAAAAAACTGGTAAGCCGTTCACCGCCTGCAGGCGATATGCAGTTTGAAACTACAAGCGAGCAGTTAACGAAATTCCAAACCCACATCCACTGCGACATTCCATCCGATCGCGTACATGTGTTTTCACTGAAATCAGAATTAATCTCATTTATCTAAGGAACTCGGTGAACTGTCGCGTGCAATAATGTTTACCATATAAGTTACCGAGCAATTCTTTTCGCTTAATTATTATACTACACTACAAAACACTTCAGCACAACATGGGTCGTGATAATAGATTGAGCAGTAATTCGGTAAGAGATTTTGATCTGGCTGCTATCCACAGTTTACGCCGGAAAGCGGGGAAAATGACGGAAGGCGACACAGAGCAAAAAATCTCCAAGCGGAGTATCAAGTCACCTTTTGGAATGCGCCTGCCGACAATTAACCGCTTCTCGGTGGCGGTCATCAAAGCCATTAATGCCAAACATGGCGACGAATTTGCCAAAGATTCTCCCTTGCACACCGCCATTCGGATTGGCAATATACCTTTATTATTGGTAAGAATCATACAATACCAATTTTTCCATATCCGTAGCTGAAAAATATCATTAATATTTTCGTAATAGTACAGTCGTTTTCGTTTCCAGTTACTGTGTGACGAAAGCCGTATTTACTTTGTATTCACTACTTAACACAACCCGTTCTCACTAATTTGACAGGCCGAATTACGATTATCAGCACTTTTGCAGATAATTAATGTCAAAGCCCTAGTTCTGGTATTCAAATTTATTCATAAAGCGATCCATTTGTATTCGTCATTATTTAGATTAGGACAAAGGGTGCATGTTGCTTGATGTTGTATAAAAAATGGCACTGCATACGATACAATGTTTGGATTCAGACTGGTTCCTATAAATAGCCGAAAGGCGTTTTGTATTTCACTGATTGCCGACACCGTGTTTCCCAATAAGTGACAGAGTATCGATAACAACACTCTCTTCACAAGTACATTCGAATACTATACTCTGGAGAGTAGAAACTGATTGCAAAAATTACGGCGGTAAAACAGCTTGTTACTTTTTTGAGATGCCTGAATAATTTCTGAGCCCAGTTACCGCTGCACTAAATTTCTAATTTCTAATACTGGTAACAGAAATGTAAATTAATAATAATAACACAAACGATACCGATTTGTTATAAATAAGATGAGTTGTAGACAATTGTTAACACTTTCAGCCATTTGCACGCAGTCATAGCAAGATACTTGTTTACCGCTGGAATTTGTGTAGAAGCTCTTGGAACAGCCCGAGTACCGCGCCTGCGTTGACGTCCGTGGCGATTATGGGGAAACACCGCTGCACCTGGCTTCCGCCCTCGACAACCTGCAGGCAGTTAAGATTCTTCTCAAGTGCGGCGCCGATCTGCGCGTACGCCGCCGCTGCTTTCACGAGCTAAATGCCGTGCATGTGGCCGCCGCCGACGGTAGCGAGAATGTCCTCCAGTACTTCCTGTCCGAATTTCCCGCCTCGAGCGGATGTGATCTTCAGGCGTTGGTGGAATTCCGCGACACCGAAGGCTCCACGCCGTTGCACTGGGCCGTGCAGTGTCGGCGTTTCAAGTGCATTGCGCAGTTATTGGAGCATAATGCACCGGTTGACAAGCCACAAACAACGGTCAGTGAGAGGCACTGTCATAACCAATACGAATTTACAATATCTATGATATCAAAATTTCTATTCTTTTTTTAACAGAGCTTTCAGGCAACTCCCGTACATTTAGCCTGCTATCAGGGCCTTCTCACTGTAATGGAGATTATGAAAGAAAAACAACCCGAAGCTTTTCTCAGAGCGCTGGCAATGGGTGACGACGAAGGCTTAAAGGTCATCCATCGTGCGGCCCTCATCAACTCTTCCGTCATGATCAAGTTCCTTATAAAAAATGTAATTTTGTTGAAGCGGCATTAGTCATACGAAATATCCCTGCATTGCAGTTGTACAAATAATAGGGTGCGGATCCCAATGCAACTGACTCTCAAGGTCGAACTGCCGTGACCTTAGCTTCGTCCACAGAAGCCTGGGCGGCACTGCGCGCTTTAGTGGAGCACGGAGCCAATCCCTTCCTTCCGGATCCAAATGGACGAACTAGTCTACATGCGTCCGCCATATTCGGGACGCTCCCGGCCCAAGCCGATACGTTCAATGAGGAATTTGTACGATATTAATTTTGCGAACACAGTGTCAAATGTGCTTACGTATGCTGAATACTCGGGTTTGTGAAATAGAGAGCTGACCTTAGAGAAGCCATCGATATGCCGGACAATTTTGGCTGCACAGCGCTGCATTACGCCGCTATTTACGGTAACGTGGAAGCCTTCGAAAGGCTGGTTAAAATGGGAGCGGATGTGTATATCAAAACGCATGCCCTGAAGACTATCCTACATTTCGCGGCGGAATGCGGTTCATGTACACTGATTAAAAAGTTGTTCGAACGGGAAGATGTCAGTGTTATGATCAACGATCTTGATAAGGACGGTAAGCTCGAATGATTACCGCCATTTACCGGTATAGTTATAAATGCTGTCGTATAATTCCACGCGATTCTGTCCACTTGGTTGTTTTAGGTTTAACACCGATTTGCTACGCTGCAAACAACGGCAGTCATGAAGTGGTACAGCTGCTGCTATCGAAAGGTGCTTTAATTTTTCGTGAGAGCAATGGTCAAACGCCTCTCCACAAAGCCGCAGCACAAGGATATACTGGTGAGCGCTCACAGGATCAGTGATTATTTAATCAAAAATCCGATTTCGATGACGTTGCTGTACCGGCACGCACTTATATATAATTTATGTTGCTTGTAGATGTCTGCGCAACTATTTTACGTCAGTATCCCAAGATCATCGATTACGCCGACGTGGAAGGTGTAAGTCCTTGTATTTTAGCAAAAAAATTTCCCGGGTTTCACGCACAGGAATACATGTCAATTTGAAAAAAACTTGTGAACGTAAAATAAATATTATATCAAAACAATTTCTTAAACGGTAAAATGTCTGCAGGATACGGCGCTCCATTTAGCCTCACTGAAAAATCATCCCAGTACAACATCCTGCCTGTTGGCGCACGGCGCCATACTAACCGTTAACCGCAAAGGACGGACACCTTTGGACCTGAGCATTGCTGAAAAACAGCATTGTGTGACGGCCGCCTTCATCAATGACGTCAGATGGCACACGTTTCTCACGACGCCGTCATTTGTCTACGGCTCGGTGTCACTGGGATTAGTGCGACATGCGCCCCATCTAATGAAGGTTCGCGATGCGGCAACCCTACATCTCGTTGACCTTTTACAGATCTATAAAGTTAACTTCGCGTTTCGATTCGCAGATCGTTTTGGACCGATGTATTCAGCCATCTGTAGCAGAGTCTGCCTTGGACTGCGAGTTTCATGTAAGAAAAGGGTTTTTATCGAAGCAAACAACAGTAGAAATTTTTTTCAATTCACGGAATCCTCGGTTTCAGATTACGTACGACTTCAGTGTGTTGGAAGGTATAGAAATACAAAAGTTGGGAAAGCGGCATCATGAACCTCCAAAACTGCTGAAAGTAAGCATAGAAGCCATTTATTATGGCGAATGCAGTGAAATATAAAAGTAACATGCGCTGGTTTTGCTGATCAGGAAATCTCCCGACTGAACCGATCTGTTCTTATCACTCATCCCCTCACACGTGCTTTACTGGAACAAAAATGGTAAGCTTTGAACGAAAGATACAAAACCAGTTACAATAAAAGGCTCCGCTTTGCAGGAAAATGTACGGAATGTACTTCCATACATCATTCACGATTATGTATTGTGTTTTCCTGTCATTGTTAACGTACATGGTGGTACAAGGCGTCTTCGTTGATCTTATCCCTCATTTGATACGACAGTCCTATGACAATATGCTGATGTACAAACCCGATTTGGTACCTAAGGCTGGCTTTTCCCGATTGCTCAACGGGACAATAAACGGACGTTACTTTGGAAAGATTGACCACTTCAAGGATTACGCCTGCGTGGCATTTATTTTGGTGTTCTTGAGTATGCTGCTCATTAAAGAGTCTATGGAGTTCTTCACCAAGGTACGTCGAAGTTCACGTACAAGTTGGTACAATCAACATAATATGTGCCTGTGCAGGCAACCAGCGCTAGAAAATAAGGAAATCTAATAAAATATTTATGTATTCTTTGTAGAACTATATTGGCTTGAAGAACTATGTAGCGTTATATTTTATGTAGAAGTGTATTTCCTTGAAGTATAGTATTACAGTGGACTGTACAGTTATATAGTATTACAAATGCGATCCGACCATTGTACCACTTTACTTCAGGGATACCGCTATTTTCTGGACATCGTCAATTATCTGGAATTGTCCATGTGCTCGTGCTGTATCGCATACATCACGCTGTATCTCATGCAATGCGATCCCGACAAGGTTCACGACATTACACCGTGGCCAGTTGGCTCCTTAACCATATTCTTGGCGTGGTTCAATCTCCTCCGCTATTTCCAACCGTACGGTGGAGTGGGAATCTATGCAGTTATGTTTTTTGCTGTGCTCAAAACACTGATGCTGGTCTCGCTCTTCTTCTTCATTCTGACTGCTGCTTTCACCGTCACCTTCTTTGAACTGATGCCCGTGCTGATATTTCCCAATAGTTCGCAGTTCTACGACGTCCAGGTATACTATGAAATATTGATAAGCTCAACTTTAATACGGTCTGACCTGATAATTAGAAAATGGAAGTTTGTTAATTGCAGCAAGACGATGACCTGCAAGCCAAAAATTTGCTGACGTCTCATATAACGTTGTACACATCCGCTCTTCGCATCGGCGCCATGACCATCGGCGATGTGGATACCATACAAAATTATATTCAACCAATGCTGATGGGAAAGTTACCATTTCCTGCCATGACCTTCGTCGTTTTGGTGGTGTTTTTCCTCATGATGCCCATCCTGCTTCAAAACTTATTGGTTGGTTTTTTATTGTATTCAGTAATTTCCCAACTCAAAAAGCGTTCGCATCTGCTAAAAAAGCGGTCATCATCTGAGCCATCTCATTGCAAACTGTTGCATGTGAAACAATAGCTAAAAGAGAAGTGGCTTAGGGGAATACAACCTGAATTTGTTATGTGGTATCTAGACCGGTTTGGCCGTCGGTGACATCAGCGCCACATTGTCCAATGCCAGCTGCCTGCGCCTTCAGAACCAAATCGATCTCCACTTGCTCATCGAACGCTTGCTGCCCGACAAATATGAATTGTTCTTCCGCAAGCACCTTCAGACATACAGGTTTTATCCGAATCTCGGCGTTTCGTGGTGGGAGCAGGTACAGCAATATAGCCGAGCATTCATCTTAAAATGCCACTTTAATGATGAAACCGTTAAACCATGACCTATTCCTAGATCACACGCGCCCTTGCTGGAGGAACTAAACGTCAAGTCATTGTTGGCACAATCGATGAAATTGACGAAGATTTTACTGGGAAGCTCCAGAAAGTAGAATTCAAAAAGCTGAAAAACGAGTACGATTTTCTCAAAATATTTTGAGAATGGGTAGTGTGTTCCTTTGGTCGAATAAATAATGTTTGGTGCACCTCTTTATAGGGTAACGCGATTATGTGACGTAATCGACCGGCAACAGCATGTTCTATCAAATCTGCTGGAGACTGTCACCCGTGCGCAGTGTGCTAACAGCATGACGCATCCATCCGATCGCGACAACCCGACGACGAATCCGAAGGAATCAAGCGACGACACTGCCTCCGTTCCCAGCAATACCAGCTTCTACATATCCCCCAATCCGCCTGTCTGTGTCAACGAGATGAACAAGAAATTGTCCTCAGAGAACTTGGAAAGTTTTCTGTAATGCGCAGTGTGAATACCCCTGAACGTACAAAATTTGTACTTGATTATTGTTGCATACTGTACTTTATTGTTAGCACTACTTAATCAGATTTAATCAACTTTTTGTCTCAACCGCTTGGAAATGCTCCTGTTGTCCAGGCATTTCTATGAAATGTGATATAACGATTTCTCATAAAATAGTCCAAGAGACAATAAGCACATTATAATAATTATGTGACTCGTTTATGTATAGTCTATATATTTTCGGCAATAAATAGTTGCACAAAATATGTAAGATGACCCTGTGTCTGTGACTGAAAATACTCTCTTCCCATAATTTGCAAATTGAAAATTAATGGGTACGTAATAAACGCATTTTGTGCTTATTTTTGCACACCGTACCCGTTCGAATTTTGGCCTTTAACTAACGTTTAGCTAACGTATTTTTTACAAACTGTTTTACTCGGGGTAGTCTGCACTTGCAAGCACTACCCAGTACTACTTGCTTTCTTCAAGCTAATCAAGTTGTTTTCGTTTTATATACTATATTTGTTTACACGATTGCACCACCTACCGTATAGTACCTATACAGGTGCATGCGTGCGCTCAGCTGGAAATCTGTCGTGTTGACTATGTCCTGCATTTGGTATAATCGCCGTCGAAGAAGTGATTAACAGTGATTGTACGTACTGTGTTGTAGTAATTTATACCGCTTCGAGCGGTATACAATTTTAAAAACTGGTTCTTTATGACAAAACTGAAAACATCTGCGGCTATCAGAGTATCACTTACTTTAGCATACCCTATCGCAACGCATTTCTTCCGCTCCATTTACGAAGGCTCCATGTACAGCGTATCGCTGTGTAGTTGCAGTCTTGCAGACGCTATTAAATAATGTCAAATACTTTTACATATTTCTAATTTTACAACCACACTGCCCACTTATGCCGCCCATTAAACCCATTAATTGATCTTTTAATGAAACTGCAAGGCATGATCGATGCGCTTTGCAAAAGAAAATTCCTCCGAATTCTCCTTATCGTGGTCGGTATTTTCGCCGCTCTCCATTTCTTCCCCGCACTTCTTTTCCGGGACAACCGGATCACCATTAACTATTTTGCTTTGTCATGGAACTCCTTTTCCGACAAAAGCATTGCTAATCATGGTAACAGTTCTGCACCAGATACCACCGTCGTTCCTCCAACGGTCACCAATTTCACTACGGAACCTGATGTGGACGAATTACAGCCAGCGTCGAATTCCTCTCTGTGCCGGCTCAATATATCATATCTGACAGGATTTCGTCATATTGTGGTCCCTCAACTGCCAGATATCTCCGAGGTTACAATAGAAGCCAAGCACCCAGATTTGTCGCCGGGAGGGCAATGGCGACCCGCAAACTGTACCAGTCGGGAGCGAGTCGTTATTATTGTTCCGTTGCGCGATCGGGAGGCCCATTTAAGTGCGCTTAAAGCAGTACATAGGAATATGTAGGACTTATAGCCAGAAATTGCCCAGAACGGTAATTGCACGTTGCAGATATTTAAGGCTTAATTGGTACGAGTAGTGTACCCTGATCGCTATAGCAGCTGCAGGACACTGGAATCAGTTTGTGATTAATTTATACAAATACAGATTATTTATTCTGTACAGTGACGGCTTTTCGGCTGTAACAGTTGCCAATTTGTACTCTTGACCCTTAAACCAATGTTCCAGTTACATTTCGATTTTAATTTCAGGGCTGCTATTGGACCGGTTGCATGCCGTTCTACGGCGTCAACAAGCTGATTATCGCATAATTGTCGTTGAGCAGTTTGGAGACGGCTTATTCAATAAAGGTCAAGCGTTTCAGCTTTATTGTTGCAATTATACGTGTTTCAATTATCAGGAGACCAAAAAACTTTGTTAATGCAATTATTAATAATTCATAAATTGTCAGTACCGATCGACAGTACGTACGGCATATTTTCGATCCGTGGGAACAAGTTTTACTATTTCAGTGCACGCTTAAGATACCTTTTAATAAAATTGATGTTATTGGAATTAGACACAGATAATTCGACCGAAGGCTAATTGCGTTTAGCTTGTTAGTAAATACAAGAATGAGCATAAAATTAAACATAATGTACTGACGTGATTGTCTTCAATGCCGATGTGCAATTGTACCTACATACAAATTCACGATAGGTGCTCTTCTGAATGCGGGATACAGGGAAGCTTTGGTGAATGATTCCCGTGACTGTTTTATTTTTCATGACGTCGATCTCCTTTTGGAAAATGACCGCAACCTGTACCGCTGTGCTTCACAGCCTCGACACTTATCGCCAGCGGTGGATAAATTCGATTACAAGCTGCCCTACAAGATCCTGATGGGCGGGGTTACCGCTTTCACGAAAGAGCAGTTTGAAAAGATCAACGGATACTCGAATCTGTACTTGGGATGGGGTAAGAGATTACCTCCGTGAATACACAATACAGACAAAACACATAAAACATATTCTAAAGACTACTCTAGTAATCAAAAGTTGGTATACTGTTTGTCGAAATTGGCTGCTTCTTCTGTCTTGTGTGCTTTTTATCAGCTTGGTTCAAACACGATCGGAATACATTATTATAACAATTTCAGTAAGTTCTCTTTAGGCGGCGAAGACGACGACATTTTTTATCGTCTCAACGACTCGGGTTACACCGTTCGCCGACCCGATCCCTCCATTGGCCGATATACAATGATTCGCCATACACTCGATGCCAGAAATCCTCAGAATCCCGACAGATTCCGGCTGCTGAATCATGCCAAATCGCGCCGCTTAATGGATGGCCTATCTAGTCTGAACTACACAGCAGTCCGACGGGAATACCGGAAGCTCTACACACGAATCGTTGCCGACGTGCATGCGCCACCGGTCTTCCCGCGACACTACCAGTGGCGGCCTTCCGGTGGCACCTTTTGGACCGAGATGGAGACCTTCATTCTCCAATATCCTTTCCTCAGCGTGATTATGTTTATGCTCATCATCATGCACGTTATTGGCATGATGTGGTGTGGATGTGCCTGGCTGGTGGCAATGGTCGAAATGGATCACGTGGATAATACCGAACACAGACGTATACGCGGCTATTACGCTCATGAGCGGATATGAACGAATATCTCCTATCTAGTCTGAAATCATTTTTAGTGTTCACTCTTATCGAAACGAAAATACATATAATTCCAAACACTTAATTACTCGAAATGCTGATGATTTTTGCTGGTTCCGGTATGGTTATGGTTTCTGCATTCAAGCTAGGAATTTATCGTTTGCACCCCATTTATTGTCAATTATTAAGGACTCGCTGTCATCAAAGATGATCTGGAATCCAATCCATAAATGAATGATTAAAAAGAAGGAACAATTTTTCTTTTAAATTCACTACCAATCAATTAACAAGCATCCATACCCGCCAGCAAAACAGCAGCATCAGACCATTAAGTAATGATCACGGGGGAAACAATTCCCAGAACAGCGAACAAACACCACGCACTCCGAAGTCTAATTGACCAATGAAGTAAACCAATCAACCAACATCAATAATCCAATATGCTTTCAGCCTCTAGTACTCTTTCCGCAAAATTAAAACGAATTAAAGACAATCCTGGTGACCCTGGTTGGAAGCGCATCAGCGGTGGGCGGCAGCACGCTCTTCCGGAGTGGCATTATAGTTCTTAATAAAATGACTAACCGCTCCCACGGCAATAATTCCCACGGCCATACTCTGCGCTGCAATACGCAATCCGGTGAAGTACAGCGTAGTGCTAATAGCATCCCTTTGCGGAAGTCGACGGTACTTGTAAATTCCTGCAGAAACAAATTTTTCTTGTTAAACGATCCGTCATTCCGAATATACTATATACAAATAAAAATCCACTAAAATAGCAGAAACATTTAATTAAACGCATTATATGCTTAACTGATCACTACGGAATTACGGCCGACACAGAACATACGAAACCGGAAACAAAATAAGAGGATCACACGCAATTATTAAATCACTAAAAATATGTTTAAACCTGAGCCAAATAACGAAGCTGCATTACGCATATGTAGTTTTGCATTATTCAAGGAACCAAGAAGGGCGAGCTCGCGAACCCAGGATCGCGCTGACATCTGTAAGCATAAATGATGATGTTTCCGAGTTCTCTCAGCAAAAGTCTGTGCGCCTGCAACCACTAAATCTTCATATAAGTAATCTTTAGTGTATTAATAAAATTTACCAGCTGGTTACATCACACCAAAAACGAATGAAGCTGAAGAATCTAATTCCCTGAGAACTGGTGCATCATTATTGGCGAACTGCTGTATTCAAAATCGTGCTTCTAATCGTAACGCTCACGGTCTTACCATATGCCGCCATCGCTGTAAAAGCCGTAATAGCGAGGGGAAATACTCCCATTTCAGTAAACTGCTTCTTAAATCGATCACCAGTGGATGGCGCCGGGGCGAAGATACGATTAGCTGGATCAGCGAACTCGTCGTACTTGCGATCCAGAGGGAAATTCTCGGTCGGCGCTCTGTGCGACATCTTAACGGCGAGCAAGAAAATTAGAAGGTACGAACTATCGATACAGGATGAAAACTATTCCGCATACGATAAATCTGGCCCAGATAAAAACCATGAAATAGTTCTCAAAATCCGAAGATTGAGAAAAACTTAAAAATTGCTTTGCTTTTCTGAAGTTTTCTTGGCATTTTAACTCCGCCAGCTGATGCAACATCTACACCGTTATCTCCAACCGGAAGTCCATCAACGTTCACAGTTTTACACTAGTCTCGTGCAAAGGCAATGTGCTTTCCATTATTACTGGAATTGGGGTACCCATTGCCGGCTAATAGGCGAATACTTACCTCCACAATAGACAGTAGTGCGGTCAAGTATGAGCGGAGCGTCGTCACACTTCAGGACGAGTACATAAGCTGGCAGCAGTAACAGTGGTACGGATACAACCGCTTAATTTGTTGCCGGAAGCTATTTTGGCTGTGAAACAGCAACTTTTTCCACCATCAGAAATCCATTCCGCAATTGCGATGAAGGAAAACTACATTCTTTCCTTCGGTGCGCCAGCATATATGTCACACACAAACGAGAGTCACGTAACGGCTCAAAAATTGTTATGATCCTGCATCGGTGTGCATTATCCTGAGTGATCGTTTACGACGCGGCATTAGCATTCCGTAAATGCTAATGCCCAGCACTCTTTCCGGAATAGAAATTTCCAGGATCGGCTGAATCCTTATTCTGCAGTTCACTTTGTTTATAATGCACAGAAAATGCTGGGTAAACAGGGCAGCTACACGCAAGTCCGCTCCCGAACGGTATTCCGGCCTATTCGCTATATTTTAGGGTTTATCATTTTGTTATCGGTGACAGATATTTTCGTCACGGTTCTCACCGGTCGGTCGCGCGTCTTTCTGTTTTTCCCCACCATATCCTTGACCAGCATCCACTATTCTTTCTTACGGCCTCGTATTGCTTCCTGCAATGAATCAGGATGTTGGCAGCATTCCACTTTTAATGCCGACGATATATTCCCCGTCTTCCTGCCTAAATGCTATCCGGACGGTCTACTGGGGAAGATTAATCCCGATAAGAGGAATGCCACGGAGACTGTGCTGAATATGACGGCGTCGCAACTGGATCCAACCGGAAGCTGGAAACCGAGTGACTGCCAAGCCAAAGAAAAACTTGCTGTGATAATACCGTTTCGTGATCGAGCAGAGCATTTAAGTAAGGCGCAATTGTTTTCTTACAACAGATAAAGGTAAACCTTTGCTTTTATAAATAAATTATCTCGTCGGATATGCCATAGCATATAAAGCTTAATGGTCATATTTGAAAGTTAATTATTGATATCTATTAACTGTACATTAACTGATCAGTTAAATTATTTTCCTTATTTCCTTTTTATTTGCTCTTATTTGAAAGATCGTGCATTGTAGAAATATTTTTGGTGAATTATCATCCAATTTTCCAAAGGCAGCAGCTAGACTACACAGTTTTTGTTGTGGAGCAAAATGGAACAACGACTTTTAATAAAGGTGCGTAAATGCGTATGTACATTGTACAGTATATCGCGTTGCAGTAATTGTGTTTGCGCTGTAATTAGGAACGTGTTTCGAGAGTATTTGAAAATAGTAATAAAGCGTATTATCAAATTTTACTATTTCTCTGGTTTCCAAAAGTGAGAAACTCTGTACAAATGAGGTAAGTACATTAAAGCGCGCAGTACTAGTTGCTCAGGCTCAGGTTCTTTCTTTTCCCATCGGAAGTTTGAACGAACGATATCGATTTCTGCAGTCACTCTTATCAGTGTCGGTAAAACAAAAACAGCCATTCAGTTATGGTTTTGGGCAGTTTGACACACTAAATTACGTATTCAGTGGGCAGTGGACACTCCGCATAGAATCGTAGTGAAAACTGCAAATTGTTTTCTGCAAATGGTTTGTTGGCAGCTCTTGTTATATTAATATAAATTATTGTTTAATTTTGAGTAAATGATACGAACTTGACCTTAATATTTATGAGAAATTTACAGGCGTGTTATTGAATGCGGGATTCCTGGAAGCACAAAAAGCTGGAAGGTATACATGCTTCATATTCCATGACGTGGACTTGTTACCGGAACAAGACAATAACATGTACCACTGTTCCGCGCAACCACGGCATCTCAGCGTGGCGGTGGATAAATTCAATTACACTCTGCCATACAAACAGCTGATCGGCGGAGCATCAGCTTTCACTGTCGAACAGTATACTAAAGTCAACGGCTATTCGAATTCTTATTGGGGATGGGGTAAGCGAATCCATTACAGAGTACATAATTGCTTTTAGCGTTAAATATCCGACAGAAAAAAAATTTCGGCTGTATAACAGTTAAATAAAATCACTGCAATAAAAACTCATGTCATATGTTTTCTGCACCCATGTTACCGACATATTCTCAAGCCGTTTTTATTCGCCGACATATGTTGGATAGAAGTATATATGGATGGAGATCCGAGATTTGCGTATTTACACTGTAGATTTTTTTGTTCTTTAAAAAGTGAGGTATGTAATTTCGTTGCCGAGTTTTGGCATGTTACGGTGGGTACTGATGGTTTGTGTTAATCTGCAGTTCAGTATGTGTGCAACAAACAGGCGTGAACGGCTAACGGATTTCGTTGTAGGCGGAGAAGATGATGATCTCATGAAACGGGTGGAATTAAGTGATTATGAAATCAACCGACCAGCAGCGGAATCTGCTCGTTATACAATGATCAAGCACGAACACGACGCTCGTAATCCGGAAAACCCGATGGCCACGAAACTACTCGAAGTAACGCACAAAAGAATGCTGAAAGACGGACTGAACAATGTGGAGTACCGCCTTCTGGATTTGCAGCAGCGCCATCTTTACACCTGGTTGCTCGTTGATGTTGGGGAGAACCGCATGAAAAATATTACACTGTAATACGCTGTACCCGAGACAGCGCGCGACATTTTTAGAACTGATATAATTCTAGGGTCGGTCTTTCGAATTCAAGACGTTTTCCTGTACAACACTCTGGCACTGAACGCCGGCGAAATTTACCGCGAATAACTTCAAATGGATGAAACCTGCAACACTGATGCAGTATCAGCCATCAACCAACAAAATTAAAATTCTAGAAACAAATTGTGTGGTTTTTGTTAATTAAGAATATCTAATGCTTTCCTCCCAAAAGCCGGGCGTGCGTGCGTCAAAGAGATGCCTTAAAACAGCTAAATATAACTGAGAAACTGAACTGCACAGCCGAAAATACGAGTACTTTGTAAATTGGGGTAAAAAATTAGCTCAATTAAAACGACAGTTACAAAAATTCTTACTTTTGTTCTATACACGATGACAGTTCGGTCTGGCATTCCGTTAGGCGATATGGTATTTTATTATGCTTTTCGTTTTCCTGCATTTGATGTAGACAGCTGCATGTATCCATAGAATCCATACCTCATTATCCATAGGAATTGACGCGGATCGGTATTCGTTTGCAGTCGGTCTCCGGTGGTTGAAGAGCGGGAAGCAAGCCGCTTGGTCAAAGAGAAAAAAATCGCCCCCGCAGTTACATCATTGCAAAATAATTTCTTCAGCCATCACTATTCTGATTTCGAATAGTTTGCGCAAGGTAATTAAGGTAATTAAGCTTCAGGTGCAGTGCTGCTCCACGTTTGCTGAATTCGAAGATCTAGAGTCACAACAAATCATCACTTAAGAGGCCACCGGAAACTCGCAATTCTTCTCACCTTGACCACAAACAAGTGTTGCAATCGTCAATAAGCCATCGGATGAATGCAGTTTGTGCCGTGCGCCTGGTAAATAAAAAAACACTTGACCACTTCATTTACAACACCGAGTCGTGTGCTGCGCATTACAGATGTTGTCATAAGATTTGATGTTGATGCAAGCAGTACCTCTTTTTCACTGCGCAGTTAGGACAGTAAAAATGTCGCGAAGGACTGGAAACAATATTTACATTCATTTGTTCAAATTAATCACAACAACTCGTTGTTTTATCTGTTTTGGGCTTTTTCTGCTAATGGCTGACCTTGCTATCGTTGCTTTGCTGCAAACGGAATCGTACATAATTTTGTTTTCTACGGCTTTATCGATAAAAACTCGAAATTTGCTCTTGACGTTCCAGTCTTCTTGTAACAAAGTTAATAAAATTGCTGATTTTGAAGGTTCTGTTAATGTATCTGTACAGATACCATACTGCCATCCCAAAAACTTATCGGGGCGGATACTGCCAATCAAAAGCAATATCACCGACGACCTTTTACTATCACTTGCGCTTACACTGGATTCTATGGGAAATTGGTCCCCAAAAAGTTGTCAGGCCAAGGAAAAAGTGGCTATTATAATACCGTTCCGGGATCGCAACGAGCATTTGAGTAAGTTGAAACCTTTAAAGGATGACATGAAAATTATTAGGGTATTGGACAGACCTTATCAGTGCCCTGCATTATGATTGCGGGCAATTCATTTAATTATACTGTACTTCAATAGATATGCATTCATTTCTGTACATGCATACTTCTATACGTACGCTAGCTCGAAATAAGCTTAACTATTATAATTATTATAATATAGTAGAATTACAAGTACTAAAGTAGAGCGCACTACATATAGGATATATCTATACGCAAAATAATGCTACTGTTTGGTCTTTTGAGAGTTGTTCCTAGCCAATTATCATCCCATCTTGCAAAAGCAACAGTTGGACTACACCATTTTTGTTGTGGAGCAGCACGGTAGAACAACGTTTAATCGAGGTTGGTTTAACAGGCAAACTTGACGGTACTTATTTTCTGTTTATACAGCTTGGTACAGAGCATGCACAGCACTGCACCTGCCGTTTACTGTGCTTCTGAAATGAGTTAAAATTAAAAGCATGAAAATAATATTATTTTAGTCTGTATTACCGCAGCATCATCCACAAAAACAGCAATGGAAAAGCGCACATTTCTCGTTTCACTCAGGGGCATTAATGAACATCGGATTTCTGGAAGTTGTGAAAACTGGAATGCATAATTGTTTCATTTTTCATGATGTGGACCTGTTACCGGAACAAGACCATAACTTATATCACTGCGGCAATCAACCACGACATTTGAGCGTGGCAGTGGACAAATTTAACTATACTTTACCCTACAAACAGATAATTGGCGGCGCGTCGGCCTTCACTGTTGAGCAGTTCATGAAAGTCAACGGCTTCCCGAATTCTTATTGGGGATGGGGTAAAAGGATTAATTCATACCATAGAGGGGCAGATTTTATTTTAATAACAGTGTCAGCAGGGTAACAAACGAACATCTCTCTAATGATTGCCGAAGTACTCGCATAACGGACAGAATTCTTTTAAGGCGGAGAGGACGATGACCTTTCGAAACGCTTGGAATTGAGTGGCTACCAGCTAAACCGGCCATCAGCGAAATCTGCTCGCTATACTATGATCAAACATCACCACGATTCCACAAATCCGCGCAACCGCATGGCTCCTTTACAGTTAGAGTTGACGCACGAAACGATGTTCAAAGATGGACTAAACACGGTATCTTATCGCGTTCTCCGCGTTGAAAAGCGTGGGCTATATTCTTGGGTACTTGTTGATGTTGAAGAAAACCGGATGAAAAATGCTGCTTTATATAATTTGTTGGACATTGGCTCGGGAATAGGTCTTCCAACCGCTAAGCAAACATGATGAATAATAAAACTAAAATATATATTTTATGATTATCTAGTCAGCGGTTTAATCAAGATGAATTCCCTAGCTTTTTTATGTAATATTGTTATGAAAACAGCAGAAAATAAACAGCTATGTACAGCGCTGGAACAGAAATAAAACGGAAATTTAGACTTTATTACAGAAGCCTTTATTATTCCCTCTTAATAAGTGAACTACCCAACTAGCAAAACATGTGTAATTATAGAACTCGAAGCATATACTGTACAAGAAAGGCACAAAATATTTTAATAGGTCAAACATTGTTACGCAATCAATAACGAAGGAATAGAACAAATGCAAATGTTAATCCGGGTTGTAGAGCATTCGCTGAACTTCTTGTTTGACGGCTACTTCCGCATACATCCGGATCGTGGTAAGGTTCGTACTTGTCGATGCCGCTAATGCTGCCGAAACCTTCTGGACCATTCTAAAAAGTAAAAGCCATATTAAACGCCGTACTTTATTGGCTGGACTGGCGTAATAACGTAGCTGTTTGATTACCGGTTTGTCCGCCAAAGGGCACGCGAATGTCTGCTTTGCAATGTTTTGCACCTCTCGCATCTTTTCCTTGGTTTCGGGCGTCCACTGCTTGTCGATGAAGGCCATAAGATTTTTGCGGTTTGCATACGTTAATCTAGACGCAAAATAACATGGTAGCCACGTTTTAGTACGCTGAACGTCACATACGGTTCTGACGCAGGGATCTTATAGCCGGCAGCAAGATCTTTGTCGTCCATTTTTGACATGCACATATTCAGATCAACAGCAGGGTAGTAAAATGCGAATACAATGCACATCTCCTCTAAACAGAATGCCGTCGAAGTTCAATTACAAGGTTACAAGTCACAACGTATCGACTAAATTGTAAACCTGGAATTGCTATACGAGTTCGTACCTCTAGTTGACTCGCCTCCCTATAAAACATAATAGAGATTTTATAATTATTTAATATTATTTAGAAATTAAATCTTATTGATGATAAAATTTAATACTTCCTTACAAAAGTGGTATTGGTGCGAACATTAGGGGGCTTCGTGCTGGAATATACGCAATCTACCACCACCGTATCACCCTAGACCAAGAGATACGGTATAAAAGCGTAATACATGATATAACGATTCTGGACATTCTCCAAGCAGAATGCAGGATATAATGTGAGATATTTGTGTTACCGGCATCAGTTGAGGTTGGTTATTCTTATCGAACATGATGAACTCTTGGTAGTTGCTGTCGTAATTTTCATCGGTGCTTATAGGCGCCAGCTCCTTTCCGTTGCGTATGTGGCGGGCATACATTTTGATACCTAATAGAAACAATTAATAAAAACAAATAAGTAGACCCGTTTCATATGTTTCCCGCGGTACGGTCGCTCGGCCTCGTTACTCACCCAGAAGATGGGTGTGCAGCTCCACACCGATGATTCTCACTCCGTCGCTGGGATACTGTAAAAAATATATCTTAACATACAATGCCATGGCACGCTATTGCCATGAGGATAGGAAACGTTGTCAAAAGGGATTTCAATATTTCTTGACGATTATTACTTATGTTATAACTACAGTAAGTGTATAATTATAGCTTACCCGTTTTGTACACTGAGCAGGGCATTCCGTTCGTATTGTCCATTCTGGTGTCATCGGCGGAATTGCAACCGTCCCTGGCATTTAAAAGTTTCATAAAAATTAAAAAGCCATGGTTAACTAATTATTTTTTTATCATGATTATGATTTTGTAATGATTTCTGAATAGTTTTCCTCACAGTCAAGCCCAATGCTTCCAAAGCGAGTCGCTCCGGCATCGTACTTCCGCTTTTTGTTTGAAAGGTACAGTTCAACTCCTGACGCGTCAATCCTGTCCGATCTTACAGATGGATTGTCATAATGCATTTGCATCATAAGGAAACTCTTCTTATCGATAATCTTTTTTAACGGTAATGCTACATCTTCGGGAAAATAAGCCGGCTGTAAAATCGAAAAATTTGTCTATTCAAAAACTGAGCGGAAATTTTATCCACTTACACGACTGGCCTTCCCTACAGCCGCCAACAGTGCCGTGCAGCTCCCCTGGATGCCGTCTTTATCCGTGTCACAGTCAAATTGTCGTTTGGCTGGGAAAGTGGCGTTGATTTGGTCATTACACGCATATAAAATGATGTGATGGACTAAATCCGTGTTTCCCGGTGTCACGATTTCTCCAAACTGCATCGAATAACGCTAAAGAAAACTGCAGCCATATACAGATGTAGACATTATGGCATTTACCCCAATCATGTATAAATCCGAATTGTCCACTGGTGGAAAGGGCATCACTTCGCAGACGTACGCCGTGTCTACGGCTGGCACTTGATTCTGTAAACGAAACCTGCTTGAAAATACTAGCGAAAAGCATCGTCTATAAATTGTTTCATGCCTCGGTTATCATGAATTTGACGTTCTGAATATCTTCGCCGGCTGCCGGTTGTGGCGGAGTGCGTGCTGTGTCTTCGAACATTCGCACTGTCTGTACGCCTTTACTTTCTTCCACGTGTTTCCGGATATGGAACTGATCGCCAGTTTTCATAGGCAAAGCCGGATTCGATGCGTAAATTAAGCGCATCGTATCGATCTAATAATGGTCAACAGTTTATGTTGTTTAGTCTTATTGTGATGTAAACTGCAAAACTTCAGAGTTAATTACGGTATTAATCGGTACGTCGTTCTGTTTGTCACAAGTATTGAGCTTTCGTGACATCCGGAAGATCAGATTGCCATCTTGACGCACGGAACCTTCTAACGTCCAGTCTTGCTGAGGGTCCAGAGTTGGTTCGATGAAATCTGGGGCATATCGATCCTGCAACACATAATTCCGGATTCCGGTCAAGCAATCCCATCGTACCGTACATTGTTAATCTGTCACATACAGTCATACAGATAACCTGCTGTCATACTAGCAAACAATTTTTAGCAGTGATTAGTTTGCTTTCCGTATTGAATGTGCCGTTCATGATAAAAAACTAAATAAACCTAAAGTAAGCAAATGATCAAGCCGTTATTAAAGGTTACTAAACAGAATCACCCAATACCAATACAATAACAGGCCTTAAGATGTTTTTAAAAATCATCTCAGGATAAATTTTGCGCATTTCCGCACGTCATTCCTAGTGCTTGGTATTACTAGAGTAATATTCATTCATTCACGGTGTCGATGGAGAAAACGTTGCATGTCGATTAGAGCAAAATAAAAAGAAATTCCGGCACGACCAACGTTGCAGTGGGCATGTGTAAGGCTTATACAAATGATGCCTTCTTAATGCGCCGATTACCTCGATATGACCCTTTCCATTTTCGTCAATCCAACCAACAAGAATATCCGCACCACGCATCGAGCCACTGGGCGACAGTCCCAATCCGAACCAGCCGGTGGTCGGTGCGGTCACCTGGAATTCAATACGGTCTTCACCGACCTTCCGCCATTCTGCTTTGGCATTTTGTCCATTCAGTGTGACGTTGTACGGATAGGCCTGTGGTGGCATTTGGCCATACACCGCTGTTATCCACAGCGCAGTGACAACCGTTGTCCACATGATAGGGATTGACAGGGTGGCGGCCGCAACAGTTAAGTAATTTTCTTAACGACGCCTGGCAATGAAATTCGAGTGCCTGTGTTCACTTGACACTTGTTGAAGCCATCAGCGATAAACTCACGAAGATGGGTAAACTTGTTGACTATGTGAGTAAAGAAAAAACGTTTACTTTTGTATTATTAAGCCGGCTGTCAACCAAACGCACGGGAGATGGTGAGCAGAAAATGCAAGCTAACTACGTGGGTACCACTTTTATTTGTGCAGTGTACTGTCGTTTGTAAACGCAGCAAGTTGATCGAGACTGGTAAGATCTGCATCGACGCGCCAATGCAAATCAATTGCAATGTGCTGATACGGCGCCAACGGTGCATACAGCATTCGCGTACCTGTCAAGTGAATGGCTACGGCTGGCTGTTTAGATTTCGACAAAAGACGACAATATTCTTTTGCCGCCTTACAACCTTGGCTGGATAAACATTCACTGATTTTTGACCCGGTATAAAGGGTGCATCATTCACATGATTGCGAATGCTAAGCTTTATAGGATTACCCATCTTTGCCCCTTGTACAGTTTGGAGCAAGTAATGCTGTGTATCCTTTGTCTGTTATTTTAATGAGTCACTTAACAAAAACGCATTGGTGTAGAGGATTTTCAAAACTTGCCGAACATGTTTTTACTCTAACCTTGCTTTTCTTAAATTCCTGGTTACCTATTTTAACACTGATTGTCACATTTTGCTCAAAGATTGTCGTATTTCGACATGCTTTTGCTCGAGCGGATCAGAACCTTACGTGGCCTTGAAATATTTAAAATAAATAAAATATAAAAATAAAATATAAAAAACTAAAGTAAGCAGTATCATAAAAATTTATATTTGCACCAAAACAACCTTTTCCGTTGTCTTAAGCACCGGCACATATGTACAATAATAATTGTGCTAATTTTTGAAATGGTTATTGGCAGGGAGACGTACCAGCATAATAAATGACGTAAAGCTGTAAATCTGTTCCTGAAACGGTGTAATTAGGCGTACAATACTGGGTTGCTCGGGGAAGACTGCTGCGTATTCTTGTCTCCCGTACAACCATTCTCGATTCAAAAATGGAAGGCAATCTGCCGCTACCCTTCAATTCCGCGCACGCCACAGATGTTTAACGTTGTAGAAGGGTGCTAATCAGTGTCATTGTAATCACAAGGCATCATTGCATATGTATGGCTTTCATTACAACGCACCGCAATGGAAAAGAAGATGTATCAAGTCAACAGCGGCATAAGCTTCTGCGACTCAATGCGATGTTGTTGGCGGTATTATCTTAATGTTGTTCAGCACCAATATCCCCGCACATCCTTGATCCGATATGTACGCATTTTTCGTATAATATAGATTGTTTGAATTAAACGGAATCAACACACTCAGTACGTTCGTATCTATCATCTTAATGTTTTGACGTTGAGCTTAAACGTAGCGGTCATCTTTTGGATGTTTTGGATGTTTGGATATTTTTGGATGTTCCACTTATTGCAATAATGTTGAACAATGTGACCCAGCCAGCGCTTGATCCATTTGTTCAGCTGTTCAACGAATTTAACCAGTTTGCTTGGAATTCATCTAATTTCACCTTTGAGAAGCTGTACGAACAAGCCACATCGCTTTTGGAAAGTGATCCAGCACTTCTCCACATCTCAGCATCGGCTACAAAGATTGTTCTGGTCAAATACGAAGCCTACGAATCGTTATGGAAAACTCTTTCAATCGTAACGTACGCCTGTGTATTCTTATTTGGAACATTTAGCAATGGAGCGTTGATTTACGTGGCGTGGAGCGCCGGCCTCGTCCGTATACCGGCGTATTGCTTTTTGGTAAGTTCTGGGCAGAAGTGCCGTCTGCGAGTCTGCTACCAAGAATCTGATTTCAAAAACATTGCCAACCAAAAGGAAATTACTTGGCTTAGCAACATTTCTTGCTTCTCAAATTGTTTTGCCACCAAATTACTGACTGCATACGAAAAAAATTGAATTTATTATGGAAAAATACTGCCGTAAAAAGATCACTGGTACGTGGTTTTTTGAAGTTGATCTGAGGAAGAACAGAATTAAGCACTTTATTGTCTATACGGTAAGCGCAGGAAATTGAAACCTCATGCAAAAGCACTTGAGATCTAGACGTGCGCTAGCAAAAACGCTCATCAGCACCGAAAAGGTATCCCCTCAACACTTTCTACATATACGGCATGCGTGTGCTTTTGTTACGATCTACAAGTACTGATTTCTACTGATTACTTGTGTGTGCTGCGGAATGTTGTGCATGTGTTTCCTCGGATGTCAACGAATCTACGGAAAAGGTTTTCATCCGATACTATAGCTCCACACTGGACCGCTTTATAGATAAAGGATTAAGTCATTTTATCATTAAAAATTCATGTTAAAAGTAAGAAATGCAAAAGCAAGCATTTATTGATCTGTAACGAAACTTAACGTCACGCAAAGCAAGTAGTTGCTGAACGGTTAATTTTACCGATAAAGTTGTAACCGCAGTGAGATTTCGCCGAAAAAGACGACGCCCTAGTGTAAAATGATCCTATCATCCCAGTTCATAATGATCCCGTCAACTCAGTGCATAATGATCCCATATATTACGAGAACAATCTAGTTTAAGTAAATACCGGAGTATCACCCTGTTGACATATGCATGTCGGTATCATATAATCTTCTTTTCCAGGTTTCTTTAGCCGGTGCTGATCTTCTGGTTCTTTGCACGGCACTGCCCACGGAAATAGCAAGCTATTTTGATGACCGTTTGCAAATCCATCGGGCGTGGTGCGCCGCATTTTCTGTGCTGACATTTGTTGGGATTAACGTTGGAAGCCTAAAGTAAGAGGACGGTTAACATAATCGAGACACACACTGCGCAGAATCAGACTATAGTCTGATTCAGTAGTCTAATTCAATTAAAAACTCAGCGAATTGTCATTGCCTAGCTAGGCAATGGCAATTCGCTGAGTGTTTAATTTTGGTATGCAAATAAAATCTTAGACTCGGTATTTCATTAGCTTTACGACGCTGCTTTTGTACGAACTGGTGACAATTTTTCGAGCCATTTTGTTTAGTTGCTTTGGGTTGTTCTCCAATTGGCAGTTTACTCTCAGCTGGCAAGAGCTGCATAACAATATTTGTCTTTTTTCAGTATGTTGACCTTTGCTGCGGAACTCCAAATCGGAATATGCCAGCCTCAGCTAGCATACCGTATCTGGCGAAAAACTCAAACTCGATTGGTTATTTGTTACTCCTGGGTGCTGGTGCTGTTGTACTCCATTGCATGGATGTCGTTCACCAATATTGCCCGCTTCTTTGGACAGAAGCCGTCTGCGACCATGTACCGTGAATCCACGGAATGCGGGTTGCTGATGCCACTCAGTGCTTACGTGTCGTTTTTCGTTATCGACTTTCTGTTGTTTTACTGCTTTCCTTTGGCCATCGCTATCGGTGTGTACGTACGGCTGCGTCGAGCAACAAAAAGCCGAACAATCAGACGGCATAGTTCGGTTTTCCACACTATTCTGATACCGCTCAAAAGTCAACCAAGCAATGGTCACCGTGTGGTCAACGCTACGGGTAGTGAACCGATGGATACGCGTTTATACGTCAGTACTGCGCTTATGAGACATCCCTCGAATAAGCAAATCCGGCGCAATTCGGTAATGATGATTACAATAATTTTGTAATGTACCGTAACTGAATGAAGAATGTTAATCCAATTTCTAGTCACTCTAAATAGATGCGCAGATATATTTATAATTTCTCTAAAATTAAGTATATAAAAATTCCGGGAAACTGTTAAGTTTTAAACAAGATTAGGATGAGTGCTTATTATGGAATAACGTGCTAAGTGCTAACATTAACGGGATAACTACCTATATTATTGCTTGGAGCGAAGCACTCAGGAATAAGCATTAATAGTTATGATTAGCTGCTTTTAAATGCGTACATTAGACCTTGTGGGTGCTTCGCGTATTTTTATGAAACCAAATTTCTCAGGTTACCAATGTAGGAATTTGTGGAAAGCGAACGTGACCAAAGATTATTACTGTGTTGTCGAGTCAACTTGGCACCTTTTCGTACAGTGAGTTATATGCTAATCGGATACGACTCACTGTACAAAAAGGTTCCAAGTTGACTCGACAACACAGTACTATTTACGAATGGCGAAATTAAGTCAATTATGGGTGATTACGTGCTCCACCGTAAAGACTTTTATTAGGCACGGTAAAGTCGCATGTAAGGCAGTCGGGCACTGAGTATCAGTACGCTGCTTTCTTATAATTATGTTACATATAATATTTGATACGTTAATAAAGATCACCGTCAGCGGTGAAAAGCATTGCATGATCCTCGTAACCCCTAATCGTAGCTATACTAATGATGATTTTGTTTATTTACAGATGCTTCGATTGGTTCTGGTCATCATTGTCATCAGTGCGATAGCCTGGCTTCCATTTCGGCTCATACCGGTGTACAAGATGCTCTGGACTGGATCTTTTCTGGATACATTTTTTGTGTTTCTTTCCTCAAATCTGATTTACCTTAGATGCAGTGTAAATCCGTTACTTTACGTTCTTCTGAGCTCAAGATTTCGAAGTGCTGTGCGATGTTTTCTCTTTCAAAAGACTCCATGATCACCACCTGTGGCACAAGTACTCACGCATCAAAGTCCGCTTTGGACAGCAGCAAGAAACATTGATTTTATTGATGCTCAATTGAGATTGCGTAAAACCGATAAACAATAATAAACTTGCATACAGAAAACAAATCCATCAGTGCAATGAAACTCCTAAACCCGTAAACCGTTAGTTTTGATAATACATATATTATATAAAAACTGTTATGATTTATGAACATACAATAATATGTGCTTCATATGTTTGCATACTTCAGTACCAATACAGACAACTGATCATAGGAGTGCTATACTATTAATATGTTGTTTATCATACATTATGTTATAATGACATGCTATGCGGAAATCGCATTACGACTACCGCACGGCGCACTAGATCACCAAACCATACTCAATCGCCAAAGTGGGAAAATAAAAAAAATAAACTGTTTCTTATATCGAAGTCCTATTTACCTGTTCCTACGTGCACGAATGCATCTGGAAGATGTTATTTATTGTTATCTAGATAAATAAGGATTGATGTAACTTACGGTAGGTACACACTTATGTTTTCGCTTTTAGAAGGCACGAGAGCTCTCAGATTCAAGTTAATGTTGCTATTCGATTGCAATTTCGTAGATGGTCTAGACAAGACTCAGCTTTTTAAACAAATTCAAGAGAGATAAACCCGCTATAACATGTGATCAGTTCCAGCGCTAGTGACTCATTAAGAAGCCTAAGAAAACATAAGAAAGAAAACCTAAGAAAACCTAAACAGACAGTTCGCGCAGAGTGAGGACTTCCGGTTATGTGCGTAGTCGTGCTGCCATGGTAGGCAGGTCAGAACAGATAGCCAGAACAGGTGAACCGCTGATACAACATTCATCCGCTTTAATATAATAGTCCTTATGATATCCTGTTTTTCTGACGCGCTAGGAAGCGCTGTCATGGCTATCAAGCGATTACTGGAAAGGCCATCATAATAACTAAAAAGCAGATCAAGCAGGCTACGTGTATATTAACAAAGCCCCGTGATTTTGACAACCAGAAACCAGATCTTTGAACGTCAACAAAACACACACACCTTCGGTCGGTAACAGAGGGCAGCAACAACAACATCGAAGATAGAGACTATGCACAGCTGACTATATCATCAAGGTCAGTCCGAGCGACCTCTTGTAACTTGGACAAGGAAGAACTAAAACAAGCAATACGTAAACGAATTAAAAGTAAAGCTACATGTCCATACCTTAACAATTTCAGTTTGTCTTTTGCCTTCTTTACCTGCGTAAAGAACACTTGGTAGGGCATCGAAAGCAACAACGCCCATAAGGTAGAAGCAATCGGCGTATGAGCCACATACTGTACCGTACTGGATCCAGTGTGGTGGATGTCCAGACATCCAGATTCCGTTGATGTACACTGTGCCCTAGCGGCACTGTACAGTACACGGTTCCGAATGCAGACATTAGAATGAGTCTCACCACTATAAAGTGTAATGATTTCTGGTGAAATAAAAAAGTCATAATTATATGACCGCTTCCAGAATATTGTCACTCAGCGGAATGACGAGATTTACACACGAAAGGAGTCCGTAGTGTTGGGTGAATTGCGAAAATAGTGGTGAAAAACCCGTTTAGCGACGAAGAGGTTATCAGACTTACGAGAGCTACAAATGTTGACTGTACGTTTTAGCCAGAATCCCTTTTGACTATTTATAATGCTGGCGACCACCGAAAATTTTTCCTTAGAACTATTTGCTGTGCCATTCCAAAGCGATGTTTGTAATTGGTTTTTACTGCGTTTTGTTTTTTATCGCATCAACTTACATAATTGCCAGGGTGTCAGCACAGTCAGGGTGGTGAAGTGCTAAAATTAGTAGTTATTACAATACGTACTTTGGTGGTCCAGGTTTTTGTTTTTGGATAGTGTGCCGGAATTTCACAAAATACGCAGCAACCAAATACAGATACAGCCTCAATATAAACCAGCGATATACGTACAAGTACTCTGTAATCTGTGTGGCTGCATGCATGTCTGTAATCCGGTTTGGCACAGACAGCTTAAAAACACAAGGAAGCCACAGTACCACATCTGACAATTTGCTGTACATCAGGTGCCTGATTTAACGGCTTTTTCTATCCCGGTACGATGACCTGTAACTAAGAAGTTTGTTTGCAAAACTGATGCGCCCACAACGCATGCAAGGACGCAACTTAAGCAATCTTAGCGTTACCGTCAGGTCATCCGGTTGCATCGAGTCGCATCGAGTCGAGGTTTGCAATCTGATCATATTCGGCCGTTTCCTTGAAGGGTTTTAACTTCCGTTACACTAATTATTTCCGGGCAGCTTTCGAAGTAAAAGAGCTTAATATTTCAGAACAATTATGCTAATTGTGAGAACAGCATTCACCGTACTTTACGTACAGTGCATGCGCACTGCAAGCTTCAACAAGTTCTACTTATAGTCAACGTCTCTAGGCAAACCCGAATCAATTGAAATGCGACCACAGTCCAATTTAAGTGGACTACCGAAACAGTCTGGTGTTAAAATGTAGGATCTCTTTAAGGCTGTTTAATGTCAACACGAACAGAATCGGGTCCATAATGGCTTGCATATTGAACATCGATCCAATGATAATCTCGAAATACCGGGTTCGGAATGAATAAAATGGCTGTAGAAAAAAATAGAAAGTAGCCGGACTCCAGAGGACAAAGATGCTGGTCGAAAGCACCAACAACAGCACTGTTTGTCCTTGTGATTTTGCCGGTCGTCTTCCCGGCGGTTCAAAATGTGATTCCGTGCCGGTGACTTGCGTTGCTTGTGCTATAAGCATCAGATCACCTTAAATATTGGTAAGTAAGGCTGGGAACGTACTAGAAATGATTAAAATTGGTCAACTAACTTACTTCTTGGCCTTGCCGTTTGGGCTGTCGTCCTGGTATCCGACATCCCAGTTTTTGCCCGGGATATCATTCGCTGGCGTTGTTTGTATGCGATTAAGGGAGACGACAGAACAACAGCCAGTAAGCAAATCAGGCATGATAACTGTGCAATGAATGCCCACGACCTTTGGAAGTCCGAAGCTTCCACGTCAATAAAACATCCATTTACTTCTTCGTTGTGCCGGTAGTAAAGGGCATCTACGATAACACCGGGCAATGTGATACCCCTACTAATAATGTTTACGTGAAACCACAAATCTGTGTGTTTCGGGTGAGCGAAACACAAAAAACGGCATGTGATACACAAGAGTGCATGTCGATTCACTCAAATCACTTTCGCGCCGACTGATAACGTCTGGGCAGTTACGTTTTTATCTGGTGCAGCATGAAAGCTGTCGTGATATAACATATTTCTTTCGGAAAACACAAAAACCGATTTCAGCTGACAAACATTTGCCGGCAACTGAGCTTTTACATTGCCACTGTCCAAACTCCAAACCATTATGTGCTGTTTCATTATTTTATTTATGCTTGTATCTGTACAGAAGCAAAAACGCTCATGTTCATACACCTTTATTGTAAAAAATAATTTAAATTACCCTTGCACGTACACGTGGCATGAGCGTACAATACAACGATGATTAAGCTATACGTTAATTAATGCCTATGCATAAGTCTGCTATACACTTTACGTCTGCAAATCGCCCTCTGCACTAATTAGAATGCATGGC